TAGGTTCGGTATCAGGTTCAGCAGTCGGACCTAACCTAGCGCATGATACCATGTCAGAATGAGAGTACAGCGGAATGGTGTGTGATTAGGAGCAGTGAGATACAAGTATGCAACCCTAATAGGTTGTACCCTATATGGGCTACCCCACTACAGCCTACAAGCATATAATGCGTTTTGACAGTTTCCTCTTGCGAGGTTGTGATCACTGTACTGCTTGTGCTCTTATATCATTGCATGTGAACTGACCTTGTGGCCGCTTTCTTGTGCTCGGACTGTGTGGTGAACTTGAGATCCACCATGAGCTTTGCTTTGTTGCTTCTCTTAACTGGTCTTGTGACCGTCTTGTTGTCCCCCACTTAGCCTATGGGGGTGTGTCAAATTGCAAATATGCTTCTTAGGCTGTAGCGGGGCACACAATATGGAGGATAGCACTTCTAGGGTTTGTACTTGTATCCCAACCAGGGCTTCAGATTGGTTTTGGCCCACCCTTAGGAATCAGTGTATCAGTCTTAGTCAACACTGATGCTTAGGGTACATTTTTTGTTAGCCTAACAAATACAGGGTAGAATTTTCGAAGGACTGAATGTGTCAGCCTAATAGTTTTAGTACACTGAATTATGCAGCTTAAAAAAAGTAATACTCTGACTACTGTTTTGGATTTAAAAACCCCACTTTTGCAAAGTTTAGCAACAACACAAGGCCTAGCAGACACTCCATCACCCTTTACTAATACTCATTCTCCACTACCAGGGACAGAAGACTCTACAACGGCTTCTGCGAATTGACCCTCGCCCGGGATTGTGCCAGAGAAGTTCTTGGTGGACCGCCTCAGCTTCTCTCCCCGGAAGATAGCCACCACCTCAAACCAGTCCACCTCGTACTGGAGCAGCGAACAACGCATCAGGTGCTCCAGGGAGGCGTCGGAGAGGCAGTTACGACCCCACGTCTTGATCAGGTTCTGTTTACTGAACCCCCTCTCGCACTCGACAATGCTCAGAGGGAGCACAGCAACTGCTTGCCAAATCTTCATCAGGTTCGGGAACGAGTGCTGCCAGGCATCATCACGCAGCATGTTCCCGAGTGCCTGGTGGATGTCCTCGTTGTTGTGTTGAGACACCATGGTCGACGTGAACATCCACAACTCGCTCTGTGCTCTGGTGTAGTCGAAGCCTGAGGTACGGGAGTGAGTAAAGAAGGGGCTATACTCGCAGCAAGCGGGAGGAAAGGGGGTTGTTAAACTAAACAGCCGAAGTCAGATACAAGCGCATGAGCGAGAAGATACACAGCTCCACATGATAATGCAAGGGGCTAACAACTTGCATAAATAGATATTGAACACATCCACATGCTTACCTGGAAGCTGGTTCTTGTACATCTTGTGCAGTTTCGCCAGCCACTTCTTAAAATGCTCGGCCCTTCGATCATCGTCTGCTACGTATGAGGCAGAGCGGAAGATCTTCGTCCCCTCCAGATGCTCCAGGTCCCTCATCCGCCACTCAAGCTCACTATCCACTACACGCACGAACTTCAACGAAAGTTCGAAGCAGGCCGTAACGTCACCGCCCGACTTGTGCCCTTTGATTGCCCTCTCGTGAAGTGTGTATTCGAAGGACACTGGTTCCCCGTCACTGTCCACGCCCTCCGCTTTGACCTCCCGCTTGTCCATCTTCTGATGACGCGTAATGAAGTCGTTCAGCGTCATCTTTTCTCTGCTGCCGAAGTGATGGTCGGGGGAAAGGTTGAAGTAGCGGTTCTTCAACCGCAACCTTGTCTGCTGTACGATGTGCGCCACTAGCGTCACGTCGATCTGAAGAGGCAACACACAGAACATGGTTAGCTAGACTTAAAATCGATACACGAATGCACTCAACAATCGTTACTTCTTACTTGCCGTTGCTGGAACCGTTGGTTGAGATGGTTCAACTCCCACAGAACATCAGCCAGGAGACGAAGCATCCAATGAAGCTTGAACGATGTGGCAATCTCGTACAGCTTAGGCTTGTAGTCTTTCAAGACCACGATCACCGCAGGCAGAATTTCAAGAAGCCGTTCGACGGCCTCACCACGTGACAGCCAACGGACTTCATGAATACCTTGGGCTTCGAGGTTAGTCTTACAGAAGACCTGTTGGATGTTGTGGAACTTGTCGTACTTGACGTTTGAACGGCCGATGAGATCTGCGAAGCCTCGAATGACATCGTCCACCATGAAGAGCTCGGGGACGGCCTCCGTCGCATCTTTGGCGGCTAGAGCTTCCCTGACAACACAAGGCAGCATGAGTACGAATACATACTTCAGGCCCACGGATTAGCGGCGGCAACAGGGCTTGAATCTCACCGGTGTGCGACACAGTGCGTTGAGGCGAGGTGTGGGACGCGCATGCGCAGACGGGCGACGACACCGTTGTTTTTCCCCACCATCACGCTCGCGCCGTCTGTTGAAATTGCACAGATCTTCTGTAGATCCGTTCCAATCCCTGTCAGGTACTGCACCACAGCAGACGTCAGAGAGGCGGCATCAGCACGGTCAACAGTTATGAGTGTCAGAAACTCATTCACAACCGCGGTGCCACGGAAAAAGGTTGCGTAGAGTATGAGGTGTTTCCCGTGGACTCGGTCTGTGCTCTCGTCGAGGGACAAGCCAATCCATGGCGACTCCATCAAATGAAACCGCTGCACTTCTTGCAGGTACGTAGAGATCGCGCGGAGGTTCTCTCTGAAGCCGTATCTGCACAACACAACAACAACTTCCAGTTGTCAAAACGGGCTCACCATCCGCTTATACATGCGCTTACTCCGTGTAGTATGCGCCGTAGCCGCCACCGTTGGGAAGGTCGGGAAGACCCTCTTTTGCCAAGAACCAGCAAAGCGGGGTGAACATCGCGATTGGAGCATCCTCTTTGCAGACGAAAAGGGCGATGTGCAGCACGCGTATGATGTGCCGTGTTGACGCGTCCGTCGCCTGCCAGGGTGTGAGTTTTGCTTGTTTTGCCTTGTCAGCTTCAGCATCCGCTTGGTTCTTCACTGCGTTCTTGTGGGCTCTCGTGGCGGAGTGGGCCCGGGCGCTTGCAATCTGAAGATCGCGCCCACCCTCTCCTTTCAGGCCGTAGCTTGTGTGCGCAGAGGGGTCGCCATGCTGCACGCAGATGTCACACTTCAACTTTGCGATTCCGCTAGACAACCGAACAAGACGCAACCATTTGAACTGCCCACGCCACTCAGTCTCAAAACGATGCTTAATGGCATCGTACATAATGTCACCAGTAGTTTAGGGAGGAGCCACATCGACAGGAGCGGCAGGACGCGGCGGTGATGCATCTTTCCGAGGAGATGAAGCTCCCCAGAGCCGCTGCTGCTTGTACTTTGCTCCGACCCGTGGGCGTTTCCCCGGCGTGTTGTTCACAATAGACGATGACTCCGCGGGGGCCCTGGACGAGCCTTCACCACCGCCTGGCACAAGCACGATTGAAGCGTGCGGCTCCCAGTCAGCCGCCGTGGATGGAGGCTCGAACGGGTACACAGTTCCTACACTGCGCACTGGAGAGGCGGGACGTAACGGTGATGCTATAGGTACGCTGAAGTTGTCCGCAAGGCGGGGAAGAACACCCAGCACATTAAGGCCGTTACGCAGTCCACCAGGCGAATCTGGTGGATGCTCGGCATGCATGATTAAGACTGTGAAACACCCTCGTTGGTGATCCCCAGACGAAGAGTATGAGGTGGATGAACAAGATGGGGTGACTTTGGGAGCACAACCCCCGCCAACACTCGTGATGGCAAGGACGACCCCGCAGCGCGTTCCTTGCATGGCTCACGGTGGTACCATCTGTCTGCTTTGTGCTGCCCTGGACAGCACGAAGCCAGCCTCTCTGCCCCGCTGTGTTGTCGGCGCGCTACTAGACAAGCCTGGCAGCTGTCCATTGCTGCTCAGGCTTCGTTTCCGTGGTGCGCTGTCAAATTGGCAGGCAACACCGGCCAATGGGGTGGTTACGCGGCTTGACGTGGAGATTTTCCCGATAGTACACCTGTGGTTGCTGTCGTATTCCGGGTATGTTGGTCCTGGTGTCCGTTTCGCCACTTGTGTAGGTTTTGAAATCCTCGTTTTCGAGAATTCGGTTTCAGTGTAAATGAAAAAGTACCCTGTACAGTCAGGCAAAAATCTCTCCCATACTGTTTTCCGAAGGGGAAAAAAAACTTACACATTTTAGCCTAGTGTAAAAATCCAACTCCCCTTACAGGAAAAGGGTAAATGAAAAAAGCGGCCGCCAGTCAGTGCAATCAGGGTGTTTTACCCTGATAACGAGAGCCCTGATTCCAACCCTTGCTATTCCAATTATTCCGTTGTTCCTAGTTCTAACATCGTCTACGAATTGTAACATGTTGGAGGTCATGACAACGGTGGGGTTCCGCCTTGCAGGCGTGGTATGCGCAGATACCCGCCTTATATGTTAACATACAGGTAAAGTATGCAATTAAAATGGAGGCAGTACCGCCAATACATACCATATGTAGTGTGAAACAAATGTTTAGAGCACAACATGTGCATTTTAGTTCAGAGCTTATAAATTGTTGCGAAGACATGTATGCTGTTTCAACAAGTGGAAATATCCCTCTGGAAGGAGGTGCCGCAGTTCTACGAACCATCCGACTTCCACAGGCTTCGGCGAAACACGCGTGCCTATTTTCGAGAAACGTCCACAATCGGCGGCCTCGCCTATTTATGTATGGGCGAACAGCCAGGCATCACGAACATACGCACACGCAACGCACCCTCACACGCGCGCCCGTAGACACGTCTGCAGATTCCGAGTTGAAGCTCGCAAGCTTGTTATGGCAGCTGGCAGCAACCAGGGTGAGAAACCTGCGGATTCTGGAGTTGAACCCCGCTCTGTAGCAGCACCGTCGCAGCCTAGGTCGTGTGGCGACGGTGACTTGTCGAGGAAATCCGATTTGGAACGCAGTGCGATCGATGCCGTGGAGGGTGATTTTATATCGGAGCACATGGAGCAGCTTATAGGCGGGGTAGATGAGAGTGAAGGAGAGGAGGCGCGGAGGGGTCAGCGTGGCAGCGGCAGTGGCGCCTTAGAAGGCGAGGCTGCTCCCAGGGCAACGGACGACTCTGCAATGCGTGAGGCCTTTTCCGCTAGCCCGATAGACGTTGACGGAGACGTAGACGGAGACGGAGCGGGCATGAGGGAGTCCGACAACGAGGCGTCCATCGCAAGCAGTACCTGTGATTGTGTAGAGGGGTGCACAGGGGGTGACACTATCGAGTTCCAAGTCACCTTCCGGGGGCAGCGCGTCTCCTTGCGCATGCACCCGCGCTCCCCGCTGCTTGCGCTCTCCGCGTGCCTTTGCGCGAAACTTTCGGTCGATCCCGCCACGCTGAAGCTCATGGTCCGCGCGCGCGCGACTACCGGAACCGGCTCGGCGACTGTTGCGACGGCGTCTGCTGCCAAGTCGCAGGCGACGCCGTCCCTCCTGCGACTGAGCGACCCATCCGTCCGCCACCGCGCGCTCAGCGACGCGGGAATCGCGCACGGCTCGCAGGTCACTCTGCTGGCTTCCACCGTCGCTGACGTGGCGGCGGTGTCCGCGCTACAGGCGGGCCCGCAGGCGGCCGCGTCGCAGCGCGTGATCGGGTTCGAGGAGGAGATTGAGCGGGCGATTCGGCGCGGCGCGGCGGACGCAGGCGGGGGAAGCGATCATAGTGTGAAGGAGCGTGTTACTCTGCCCAAGGGCCCTTACACCTTCCACGACTTCCGCACATGGCAACTTCCTGGAAGTGAGGTGAGCGCACAGTACGCAAGACCCGGAGCGTGGATCAATGAATCAATAATGTCCCAGCCCAGCCTCGCCCATAACCTCCCATACACAACACATCTCACTCCGCCTGCATCCCCTTCTGCCCCCATGCCTGTCTCCACCCACTCCCTTACACGCCCACCCATCTCACACGAACCCCCTCGTCCTTCTCTCGCCGCCGCCTTCCCCCACACGTCTCTGCACCCTGCGCCCTCCCTCCTGCGCCCTCCGCCCCGCGCCCCGCGTCCCCATGGCCAGATGCGGCCTCCCGTGTGTGAGGCGCTGGCGCTGCTGCACCGCCTAGCAGCGGACCCGGGGATAGTGGCAGTCATGCACAAGGTGAGCACCCCGACGGAGATTAGTAAGTAAACACGAGGCAATATTGGTGCGGGGATAGGTGCGAGGGGATAGCGCGAGGTGTTTAGTGGCAAGGGGGCTTGAATTGTCACAGATTGCAAGGGGGCAAGATTTCATGCGCATGATCTCCTTGACATTCAAGCTAACTCATATAAGCGCGGCTGCTCATTGCCACACACACTCGTTAATATATTCTCAATCACGAGTCATTGCCTCATCCATCCCTGCAGCCGCCTCACCCACACACCCTTCGCCACTCCCCCAACAACACCCCCCTCTCCCCCTCAGCACCGCTGGTCTGTGCGGCTTTTGAGCGAGCTGCCTCCGGAGGGCCTCGTGGGAGTGTCGCCCGTGTGCCTGCTGGGCTTTAACAAGGTGGGTGGGCACCGCACTGGACTGCACCGAGCTCCACCCTACCGCACAGCACTCTCGTGCTTTGACAGAGTTAGAAGCAGTAGTAACGCATTGGCACAGCCGTGGTCGTGGTCGCGGTCGCGGTCGCGGTCGCGGTCGTGGTCGCGGTCGCGGTCGCGGTCGCGGTCGCGGTCGCGGTCGCGGTCGCGGTCGCGGTCGTGGGCGTGGGCGTGGGCGTGGGCGTGGGCGTGGGCGTGGGCGTGGGCGTGGGCGTGGGCGTGGGCGTGGGCGTGGGCGTGGGCGTGGGCGTGGGCGTGGGCGTGGGCGTGGGCGTGGGCGTGGGCGTGGGCGTGGGCGTGGGCGTGGGCGTGGGCGTGGGCGTGGGCGTGGGCGTGGGTGTGGGCGTGGGCGTGGGCGTGGGCGTGGGTGTGGGCGTGGGCGTGGGCGTGGGCGTGGGCGTGGGCGTGGGCGTGGGCGTGGGCGTGGGCGTGGGCGTGGGCGTGGGCGTGGGCGTGGGCGTGGGCGTGGGCGTGGGCGTGGGCGTGGGCGTGGGCGTGGGCGTGGGCGTGGGCGTGGGCGTGGGCGTGGGCGTGGGCGTGGGCGTGGGCGTGGGCGTGGGCGTGGGTGTGGGCGTGGGCGTGGGCGTGGGCGTGGGTGTGGGCGTGGGCGTGGGCGTGGGCGTGGGCGTGGGCGTGGGCGTGGGCGTGGGCGTGGGCGTGGGCGTGGGCGTGGGCGTGGGTGTGGGCGTGGGCGTGGGCGTGGGCGTGGGTGTGGGCGTGGGCGTGGGCGTGGGCGTGGGCGTGGGCGTGGGCGTGGGCGTGGGCGTGGGCGTGGGCGTGGGCGTGGGCGTGGGCGTGGGCGTGGGCGTGGGCGTGGGCGTGGGCGTGGGCGTGGGCGTGGGCGTGGGCGTGGGCGTGGGCGTGGGCGTGGGCGTGGGCGTGGGCGTGGGCGTGGGCGTGGGCGTGGGCGTGGGCGTGGGCGTGGGCGTGGGCGTGGGCGTGGGCGTGGGCGTGGGCGTGGGCGTGGGCGTGGGCGTGGGCGTGGGCGTGGGCGTGGGCGTGCCATGCGCCTATTCCTTTTCTCTGAGGTCGTCGCCTTGTATTGCTACCTTCTCCTTCGCCCAATCCCCCAACCCCACACGGCCATGCTGCCATGCCAATCCTCAGTCCCCCTCTCCCCCCCGATAACGTGACGGCGGGCATCAGAATCGCGGAGAGGAGGTGTGTCTGCGGCTGCGCACGGACGACCTCAAGGGCTTGTTGCCATGCCCTCCCATTCCCGCAACACCCCACCCCCCCCCCCCCCTCTGCTCCCCCGCAACATGACGGCGGCGTGGCATGGCACGGCACGGCACGGCACGGCACGGCGTCATGGTGGGCATCAGAACCGCGGAGAGGAGGTGTGTCTGCGGCTGCGCACGGACGACCTCAGGGGCTTCCGCAAGTACCTCGCCATCCGCCGCACCCTCATTCACGAGCTCGTGAGCGCCGGGGGGGAATGGGGAGACGTGGGGAAAGATGGAGAGAGGTGGGAGAAGTGGGGAAAGGTGGGGAGAGGTGGTGGGAGCTGGAGAGGGACATGTTGTAGCAGGGGAGGGGCTGAGCTTATTGCCTGTGAGGGAGAGTCAAGGATGGGATGGCAGCAACAGGGATGGTGTTGTCCTTGGAGGCTGTACTTGCCACCCTCCCTTGGCTGCTCTCCTCCTGGCTGAGCACATGGAGGTGGATGAGCGGAGCACAATGCGCAGTTCAAGGCACTGGATGGGAGCAGCGGCACGCCCATCAGAATGACCTCCTCTCATTTCCATCATTCATGCTCCTTGCCCCTATCCTTGGGCTGCCACAGGCGCACATGGAGGTGGATGAGCACAACGCGCAGTTCAAGGCACTCGATAGCAAGGTGGGTGTGCTCTATGGATGGGAGGCATGGAGAACGTGCATACACGGGATGCATGTAAACTTTGTTTTGCCAACTCTGCCCTTCTTCCAACTCTGCTCTTTGGCCAGCCTTTAAGCCCTTTCCAAAGCTGCATTCTCAGCGTCCTCCTCTCTCCCCTTTTCACCCTCAACCTCATATCCCCATCTTCGTGCCCTCTCCCTCCCTCCATCCCTCCTTCCACCCTCCACCCACTCTACCTTTCCTGCTCTCAACTCAACCACTTTCTCTCCGATCACAGCTGAGCAAGGAGGTGGAGGCGTCAGACTGGACTCGCTCCGCCTCACACTCTACATCTGCCTCCTCCCTCTCGCACCTTCTCTCCAACCCTCCTCCCTCGTCGTTGCATTCGCACAGCACGACTGCTGCACCTCGCACGCTGCTGCTGGTGGCGCCTGCTGCCCCAGCAGCTGCGGCGGCGGCGGCAGCAGCAGAGGCAAGAGCGCAGGCAGCAATAGCAGCGGCAGCGGCAGCAAGAGGAGGTGAAGCAGGAGCACCTGCAGCAGCAGCAGATTCTATGAAAGCAAGGCCCCAATTATCCGCAGAAGCAGAAGCAGGGGGCACAAGAGACGGGAAGAGGACGAGAGAGTCAACGCAGGAAAGGACAAGAGAAGCCAGTCATTGTGGGGACGCTGGGCGGCACAGTGGGTGCATGGCAGCAGAAGATTCATGTGCGATGCAAGATTGTGCTACAGCAGGGCATGCAGGGAGCACTCTGGTGCTGCCCTGGGTGCAAGGAGATGGTACCAGTACTGGCAGCAGGGAAACAGGCAGTGAGCTTGGGAGTAAGGATGGAGGTGGGATTGGGGATTGTGGTGTTGGTGGAGGTGGGAATATAGGAGCGAGAACAACTACAGCAACAGCAGGAACAGATGCAGCAGATATAAGGGCAGCAGAAATAGCGACAGCAGCAGAAGCAGCAGCAGCAGGACCAGAGACAGCCACTGCAGCAGTCGCAGCGGTGGGAGCAGTAGCAGCAGAAGCAGGAGCATCAGCATCAGGGGATGGAGGCGGTGGAGAGGAGGACATGGCAGCGGCCATAGGGGAGGAGGTGGCGCACGTGCATGCAGCATCGCATGAGGCAACGCACAGGCTGGTGGCTCTCAGGGAGCAGCTGCGGCAGGAGGTGCCGGACTCACAGGAGTTCCGCACCGCTCTCTCCACACTCTCACGAATCGTCAAGTGTGTGCCTTGTCTTGAATCGCCTTGCCTTGAATTGCCTTGCCTCATCAAAGTGCATGCTCTCCCACTGGCCTGCCCGCTCTTCATTCAGATGACCCTTCACGGCTGCCCTCCCAGTCCTCCATTGCTGGAGGTTGTTTTCCTTCCTGAATCTTTTCTGATGCATGCCTGTCGGATCCATCTACTGCGTCCCTCCCTCCTCACTCCTTCCTACCACTCCTCGCCTCTTCCTCACTCTCCCCTTCCCCCTATTCCCCCTTGCCCATTCCATCTACCTATTTCAGCAACGCCAGACGGTATCCCCACGATACCAAGTACCACCGCATTCGACCGGTGAGTTCACATCTCACCCTCTTCCTCGCTCCTGTTCCATGCTGCTCCACAGCCTTTCTTGCACCAGCTCGTCTCACTCATTTGATTCTCCCCTTCCCGTTTCTACTTCCATGTGTGTGGGTGGGTGGGTGGGTGGGTGGGTGGGTGGGTGGGTGGGTGGGTGGGTGGGTGGGTGGGTGGGTGGGTGGGTGGGTGGGTGGGTGGGTGGGTGGGTGGGTGGGTGTGGGTGTGGGTGTGGGTGTGGGTGTGGGTGTGGGTGTGGGTCCGTGCATGCGTGCGTGCGTGCATGCATGTGTGCACGTGCACTACTGCGCATGTGTTTCCATGCCCTCTCTCCATGTCTGCAGGCCAATCCCAAGTTCCACAGCAGTGTCGGCAGGTTCACAGGTACACACCTGTCTTAGCCACTGTCCCATGTGTCCTTCATCTCTTGCCGTGCCATGTCATGTCATGTCATGTCTCTGCCACGCCCCTACATTCCTACCTTGTTGCACACGCCATCTGTGCTTCCAGTCCATCATCTCATGTGCTACTCGTGCTAATTATGTGCGTGCTGATCATATGGACGTCACGTCTTTCCATTTCACGTCACGTCACGTCATAAGATCCACGTCACGTCTTTCCATTTTCCACCTCCTATGCAGCATTCGCCATCAGTGATCTGATGCCGATACACATCGAATCAAGCCTGCCCGTCATATCCTCCTCAGTTTCACTCCACCCTAACTTCTCTTTGTCTGTCCATGCAGCGGCAGTGGCCATTCTCGAGGCGGCAGGATTCCGCAGGGGGCATGACAGGGTGAATGAGAGTGGGGGTGGGGGTGGGGGTGGGGATGGGAGTGCGTATGAGGAAGTGCTACTGCTGCACTGCTACGACCCTGTGCTCCTGTGGCTCGCAGCAGACGTTCTGGATGCTGCTTGAGCCTTTATGTCCTCTCATGGCACGTGGCACATGTGCAGGGTGCATGGTGCATGGGCCATCCATGGTGCATGATGCATAATACCGTACATGGTACATGCTGCATGCTGTTTGATGCAGTGCAGTTACATTGGGCTGTCCTGTTCATGTCTTCAATGCCTCCAGCAGGGCGAACATACTGTGATATTTTATAAAAAGCTGGCCCAATGAAGTCTTACATGTAGAAAGAAAGGCTTTATTTTATGCAGTGGCAGTTGTCTTTGCACTGTGCTTCACTAACTGAATGATCTACGGTAGGTGGACAAAAAAAGTCATTTGCTGCACAGGGTACCCTGTGGATGGTATCCAAATCCAAATGCAGGGAATGTTTCCTTGCATTTGGATGGTAGAGCACGCCCTGCATGATCAAGCCAGTGTGCCATTGCCTGCCTACACATGAGTGCTGCAGACTCCAGAGCAGACACAATGGTGCTATTCAACTGGGGCATCCTTATGCAAGAAAACGTCTCCTACGCGAGACAGGAGAGCCATAAACAGGTGTATCCTGCTAAAACAAGGGTGAATCAAGCTTCTAACCACCGTGTGCAGTGCTTCAACACAGCTCAATTAGAAGTCTCTGTCGCTCTTCAAACCGGGAAACCAGGGATCCGGTTAGTAAATGATTGTTGTCAGCCTGACTGAAACCGGGTTGCCAGCGCACCCTCACACTGTCTCCGTGCCACAAATACTTCCACAAACAACCCAAGCACCACCTGTGCCCGCTGCTTCGTTCGCACCACCTGTCAAACCCGTCACCTGCAGTGCAGTCAACCCCCTCTCCACTCCCCCCTATTCTAAATTCGCAGTTTTTGTCTACATTCCTACTACGGTATTTGCCGGAACCGCCCGACTTTCAGCTGAGCTGCCGGACAAAGTTGAGAAGAGAGTCCGAGTCCCTCCTCTCGCCCCGCATCTTCATCACTAGTGCTGCCTGCTGCGCCTGCCCCTGCGGCACCTTGTGGCGTGGGCGCACGGAGAGAATGGTGGGGAAGGACGCAGCGCCTAGAGAGTCCCGTGCAAACTGCCGCATGTCCCGATCGCCCTGTTGTGGGGGGAAGGGGGAAAGAGGGAAAAGCGCCAAGGGGGTGGAGGGGGCAAGGAGGGGAAACGGGGAAGAGGGGAAACAGATAGAGAGAGAGAGCGATCTGTGAGTGTTGGTACGACGGGTGTGAAAGGGTTAGATTCATCACTTCCCATTTCTTCCCACGCCATCCCATGTCATGTTACGCCTCCCATACCCCACACGCCCCGCACCCTCTCGCCTCCGCACTCACCCTGAACTTGGCGACGCGTGTGCGAGTGCCCTCTTCCCCTTGCAGCACGCCCGCGGTGTGCAGCAGGGCGGGTTCGAGCGCCTGGCAGAAGGGGCACCAGGGCGCGTACACCACCAGCAGCCACGACCACGCCGCCAGCTCCCCCGCCCTCTGCTGCTCCTCCGGGGTCGCTGCTGCTGCGGGCAACAGCTGGAGAAGGGGGAAGAGGGAGAAGGAGGGAGGGGGGGGAATGCGAGTTGGAGGAGGAAGCGGGGGAGGAGTGAGGTGTGTGGATGGGTTGACAGGCAGAAGGGGCTGTGCAGACTAAGGTACCTGCGGGACATGCGAGTCCCCATAGAGCAGAGACAGTGGGAAGAGGAGAAAAAAGCAAGTGAGGCGGACAGGCCACCACACGTAGCAAGACAAGGAGAGCGAGAAAGCGAGAGACAGGACGGGAGGGAGGGGAGAAAGAGGGAGGGAGGGAGGGAGGGAGGGAGGGAGCGAGGGAGGGAGGGAGGGAGGGAGGGAGGGAGGGAGGGAGGGAGGGAGGGAGGGAGGGAGGGAGGGAGGGAGCGAGGGAGGGAGGGAGGGAGGGAGGGAGGGAGGGAGGGAGGGAGGGAGGGAGGGAAGCAAGGGGGGACTGAGGGAGGTCGGGAGTGAAGGTGGGCAGGGAGGCATAGAGCACAGACCAGCAGCTCAACATCCCTAGCACTGAGCTCCTCCACGCCCCCATCCACATAGATATCCTCCGCCTCCTCCTCTCTCCGCCTCTGCCGCTCCCGCTCCTCCTCCTCCCGCCTCGCCACCTCCGCGGCAGCCAGCTCGGCCTCAGCAGCAGCACGTGTGCCCACGCCCGTGTGCCCCCGCGTCGCCAGCCCGCCCGGCCCCACCGACGGCGCCAGCGCCAGCGCGGACAGCGCAGCAGCGGCGGACGCGCCCGTGGGAGCATCAGCGCCCTTGGCGGAAGCAGAGCCGGACGACGGCTGGTGCAGCCCGCACTCCTTGCTCCCAGCCTCCTCCCACCACCAGCGCCCCTCGCGCTCGTGCTGGTGAGGCAGCACGGGGCGAGTACACGGCTCGCAGCCTATGGAGGTGAACCCCTGCGCGTGGAGAGGGTTCGTGGGGACTTCTAGCGCCTCCAGCATGTGCCAGACGTCGGTGCCGGAGACGAGGGCGAGAGGGTTGACTTTGACTAGTGTGCCCACTGCCCCGCCCGCGCCCTCGCTGCCTGGATCGACCTGCACCAGTGGCACGTTGGCACGCGTCCCCACGGATTGGTCCCGCCTCTGCCCCGTGATCCACGCGCGCAGCGTGCGGAGCTTGCGCTGGGGGTTGGGAGGGTGAGCGGGGAGGGGAAAGGGGGGGGGGGGTGTGTGGGGCCGGGGAGGAAGGGGGAAGAGGACAGGGTGGGAGAGGTGAGAGGAGCAGAGACATGCGACGACGAGGGCGGAGAAGCGTGTATTAACACATGGGAGTAGATCAGAGCGGGGACACCGCGAGAGGAAGCGAGACAAAGGAACACCCATAAATCAAATGAGAGAATTTGCTACTATAGCTTCATGCCGTTCTTTTGCTGCACTACCCATTCATGATCTTCAATGGCAGAGACCGTTCAAGAGTGCGTGCAGCCATCAGAGTAACTATGACATGAGTAAGGCCGGCATGAGAGGCAGCAAGAGTGCCCCTTTCGGCCAAAAGGGTGGCATCACGTGGCTGCATGCGACTCCTCCTTCCTATCTCGTCGTACCCCTTTCTCACGTCGTCTTTGTCTTCTTTAATACTTTTCTTGGGTGGAGGAAAGAGAGGGACTTTTCCTGATTTTCCCTCCACTCAAACATCCACGTTTCACCCACCATCTAACAAACTCGTTTTCCTCATAACCCCCCTCCCCTCAACCTTCCAGCCACCCTCTCATCCCTCCACTCGTATCACCGCCCCCTCTCCCTCCCCGCTTCCCCCCAATGGGGGTTGCGCGTACCTTGAGCGGCTGCACTTTGCGCACGGAGCAGCACTCGAAGTGGCCGTCAGTGTAGAAGGAGAAGAGCCCCTTGGCGCCCACCAGCTGCTCCACCGCCGCCGCGTCCGGGAACAGCACCTCCATGCGCACGCCGTAGTGCTGCTCCACCTGTAGCAAGTGACCTCCAACAAAGTGCACGCGCACACGCGCACGCACGCGCGCACATCGCACATTCCATTGCGAGGAAGGATTCAGACGGAGAGAGAGAGAGAGAGAGAGAGCGTGAGTGAGTGTGTTAAAGCGGGAGCTAAAAAAAAAAAAAAACAACAAACAAACAAACATTGAACACCCGCAATAACAACATTTTGTTAGTGGAAAAGTCATGAAAAAACGAAAAAAAAAAAAAACAAAACAAAACAAAACAAACGGGCGACATGAAGCGGAGAAATATGCCTGATGGAGGAAGCGGTAGGTCTCGGGGTTGAGGCGGCCCGTGTCGAGACAGAAGACGCGGAAGGGACGGCCCGTGCTCGCCGCTAGCTCCACCAGTAGCACGTCCTCCGCGCCGCTGAACGCGATCGCCGCATCCACACCGTACAACTCCAAAACCTGATCGGATGGTCGAGATGCGAGGAGGAAATGTGGCGTGGGGAGAGGAACAGGTCCGTGTGAGTTTGGAGATGCTGAGTAGAAACAAGACGATGGGGTGATCGTGTCTGAGAGTGGAGAGAAACGCAGCCAATGGGTTTGTCGATGGTACGTATCAATACGCCGTCGCCGTGGTTACGACGTGGTTACGCCTAGTTACGACGTTGTTTCGTGCTTCTGTCAGAAGTCGTTGCTCGCGATCCTCGGTCGTACTTTAGCCAGCTCCATCGGAACAACAATTTCATGCGCGCATTGCTCCATGCAGTCAGCGGCATTGGTTGCGACGATCGACACCGCTGGCGACGGGCGACATTGCGAGCGACGGGCGACATTGCGAGCGACGGGCGACATTGCGGGCGACGGGCGACATTGCGGGCGACGGGCGACATTGCGGGCGACGGGCGACACTCACCCGGTCCATGATCGCGAGTGGCGACATGCCCTCCAGCTCCTCGCTCAGCATCGCCACCTCTTCGTTCGCCCGCAGAATCGCCTGCGCCACCTCCGCCTCGTCCTTCGTCGTCGCCGTCGTCGCAGTTGCCGCCGCAGCGGACGCGCCGACGGATCGCGCACCGTCGCCTGCGGCGGCCAGAACAACGCAAGGCCGCGACTTTCTCACATCCATTTGGGCGGTAGCGGCGGCGCCGTTAGGGTTTGAGGGTTTTGATGACCCGACGAACGGGGATCGGAGGGCGGAGATAAGGTTCTGCTGCGGTGCTGCAGGAGCGCCGGCGATCGCGGAAACCAGCCTCGCGCCGACGGCATTTGCGACAGGCGTTGCCAGCGACGACGACGGAGGTACCATGGTTGGCGAGGTAACGCGCTCGAGGTGGTTCAAGACGAGCTTGGCCTCTGGCTGACGATAAACTCGGAAGAAACGTTGTCGAGCTAAACGGAGAGACGGAGGGAGAAACGACTGTGTGGGAGGGAAACGGCGAAGCTGTATGTGTGAAATCGAGGCGGAAAACAGCTGAGAGGACAGGTGGAGTGGAGGTTTTATAGCTCCAGTGTGAAAGGGAGGAGGAAAAAGGCGTGGGGAGGAAGCGGATGGGGTGAGTGAGGAGGTTGAGGCAGGGGGTGGGGTGGGGTGGAGTGGGCTGGGTTGGGGTGGGGTTGGGTGAGGTGGGATGGGTTATCCAACAGTACAAGCCCACTGTACAGAAGGTCGATCGGTCTCGGTTCATCCAACCGTTGGTGGGAGTGTACAGTACAGTGTGGTGGCCGCTCCTCCAAACGGCGCTGAGCCGAGCGTGCGGGCGGGCTGCGCCAATGAGCGAGACGAAATGCAGCAACAGATGTGCTTGAACGCAGAAGAGAGCGCCAGAGGATGAATCGTTACAAGCACCGCGGCGGAGCTACATGAGGATGTCACGAGGGAGTTGAGGTGAATCACGGATTTTCAGTGATATACTTATGCGAGCAGCAACACAAGACAATGCTGAACGATATTTGTGGGAACTCAAGGGTAGAGGAAGACTGGTAAACACCCCAAAATACTTTGACACTCGTTTTCTACCCCCAATCCAATCACATCGATTTGCCATTGCCATGTGTATGAAGCTTCTTCACTGTTGTCCCATTTACGGTAACACCTGAAGGCATCACATTGGACCTTGACCTTGTTCACACAACACAATTCACGCTAACAAAAACTTCCATGCCGCAAGAGCATAGCGCAAGGCGTGTCACTTAGCCTGCAAGCCACACAACACCCTCACAATGAAAAACACATGGGCACAACATGCTCAGCGCCGTGCACATGCCCATTGCCCACCACGACCGCCCACCTACACTCGCCCCCCTCGTGCAATCACGGCAGCTGCCACAGCAACAGTTGCCACCGCAACCACAGTGGCAGCCCCCCCGGCGTATGCCCATGCTGTGCCTGAACTCCAATGTGCGGACGAGAAATACGGCCGAGACACACTCGGCACAGATTGGGATGAAGTCGCAGGCTCAGCAGCAGCAGAACCAGTAGAAACATTTGAAGCAGCAGGAGGAGATTCGGCATTGGCCTTCCTGGATTGCCATGGCTTGACAGGAGAGTCTGTTGAAGCAGTAGCAGGGAAGTCGCCTCTCACAGGCAGCCCATGGCGTTTGTACGCCACAGCTGACCCTGCAGCAGCCCGAATGGAGGCGGCCGCTGCTGCTGCTCCTGCCACTGCAGCAGACGCAGTAGCACTTGCAGGGGAAGACCTAGTGGCGGCGGCAGGAGAGGCATTGACCAACACACGTGACAGAGACCCATCAGCATCTGAAACCGGTGCTGCCGGTGCTTCTACTGCTGCTCGTGCTGCTGGTGCTGGTGGTGCTGCAGCAGTAGGGTGAGATGGTGTGGACGCTGCAACTCTGACAGGGCTGGAGTGGGAACCGGCAGCAGCTGCAGCAGGAGCCGCCATGGCTGCCTGTATGGCAGCATAGGGCACACGGATTGGCACAGTGGCAACAGGAGACAGAGAAAACTCTTCTGATGCTCCTCCTCCTCCTGCAGCAGAAGCAGCAGCAGCAGCAGCTGCTGCTGCTGCTATGGCCGTAGCTGTCGTTGGTGCGGGGAGTGGGGGGCGGGTGGGGATTAGAGTGGGGCGGAGAAAGGTGGGCGAGTAAGGGTTGGGAGGGAGACCGCTTCCTGATGCGGTTGCAGGAGGGCCGTGGGATAATGAGAGAGACCCTGCCTGCTGCAGCAGTGGTTGCTGCTGCTGCTGCTGCTGCTGCTGCTGTTGGTTGTGCATGAGTTGAGGCATGTACTGTTGGAGATAAAGAGAACTCTGCACTTGTGACTGCTGTTGCTGCTGCTGCTGCGGCGACAGCGGTTGCTGGTGAAAGTGGAAGAGGTGGGGCGGTTGGGTGCTGTGAACATCCATGGTAGCATGCCCGCCGTTGGCAGGATAGGCATACGTTGTGTATGGCTGCTGGGGCATTGAGGATGGAGGGCCGTTTGGATATGGATATGGATTGTACTGCTGCTGCTGTTGGTGCTGCTGGTGCAGCTGGGGTGGTGGTTGCGGATCCGAGAAGTCCAGATGCAGCTTGATGCCCTGAGAGCGCACAGGGGGGCAGAGGACCACGCACATACACATGGCATGACACATGGGTGCTGGAAATGACGAGGGGGGTGACAGTTTACGAGGGTGATTTTTGACGAGGATGCCAAGCAGATAGCGTCGTGAATGCTTGAAGGACAAGTGGGGTGAGGCGCACTATTCTGCGGGGTGGGGAGCACTGGATACGTGCAAGATGGGTCGTCTAGACGACATCCTACTGCCGACTAGCATACATACTAATCATCCTACTGCCGACTAGCATACATACTAATCATCCTACTGCCGACTAGCATACATACTAATCATCCTACTGCCTGGTGGCTCGTAATCAGTGTGGTGTAATCTGACCCTCCATCCATCTCCCTCCCTGCCGCAATGAGCCCAGAGAGCCGAGCAGCAGCGCAGGGAGCCCAGGGGTGGTCCGAAAGAGTTGGTTGGTTGGTTGGTTGGTGGGCATGGCACCTTGCAGTTGGAGGCGAGGGCGAAGGTGACGGCAGCTTGCAGGTCCTCGTCCGTGGATAGTACCACCTTGTCCCCCTCCTCGTCCTCGTACTGTGACTCATGCATGCATACACACGCACGCCCACATACACACGCACACATGCACGCGCTCATGCGCTCACCCGCGCACCGCGCATGCACGCATGCATGCACACACGTGTGCACGCGCGCGCACGCACACACACGCACACATATACCAGAGCAGTGGTGGTGCAGGGATGAGGTATGGGGTAGAGAGTGGTGTGTGCGATGGGATGGAGTGGATGTGCAGGGGGTGGTGAACAACAAGACAGGAAACCAAACGAATGGAGCGGACGGGGGGTTTGGAGGGGCGGAGAAACTGGAGTGAGAGGAAGGAGGAAGGTTCTGATTGAAAGGTGTCTTGTACAGCATGCCGCATGTCTTGAGGTATGCAGGAAGGCATGGTGGGAGTGCATATGTACACACCATGACAGCAGGCGGGTTGTTGGGGTCATAGTCAGGTCCCAAGCGAGACGCCACTGCACAAATGAGCTCTGTCACACTCTCCCGCCCTGATTTGCGTACGCGGCACCATGCGGTGCAGTGCAGTGCAGAGGGGTGGGCAAGGGAGAGGAGATTGAGGGAAGTGGGGGGGTGGGGGTGGCGGGGGTGGGGGGGTGAATAGAGCAGAGCAAGGTTGAAGCAGGAGGTGGTGAAACAACGACGGGCTTTGTGTCACTCTCTTGGCAGAACAGCCGCGTCACTGCATTCAGTGCAATGCAGTGCAGTGCAGTGCAGTGCAGTGCAGTGCAGTGCAGTGCAGTGCAGTGCAGTGCAGTGCAGTGCAGTGCAACGCCATGCAATGCAGTATAATGCAATGCAGCACCGAGCACAACAATGCAGGCAAGTGCAATGGAGTGAAGTGCCCGTGAGTGAGGAGGAACACAGCAACAAGGAATCGAAACAGAAAGGCTATCAGCTGAGACAAGGAGAGAGACGAGAGGAGCGTTACAACACTACAAAGCCGAACGATTATTGCAAGACCCCAACAATATTACTGTTGAGCCGCATCAAGAGTCAACAAAGTCAGTACATAAATCAACGACATCTAGAGCCAAAGACCTCTAAAAAACCGCTGCCAGAGACATACAGAGCCCCTCAACTGACCTGCAGTGAATCGATGCACGCGCCCCCGCCTGTCCTCCATCTTGAATGCAAACCGCATGTCGCCCAGCCCTCCCGCCACCAACCCCCCTCCACCGTACCCCACCCCTCCCTCCCCCCCTGCGCCACCCCCCACACCCATGATGCCGCCTGTCCCAGATACCACCTTCCCCTCGGTGATATCAGAGAGGGGCCGTGAGGGGATGGAGGAGGGATGGGGAGGGGGGAGGGAGTGGAGGGGAGAGGCAAGGGCGGTGCGTGGTGGTGTGACGACTGCTGCAGAGGAAGCAGAACGAGTAGAGTGAGTAGAGTGAGCAGAGGGAATGGATGCAGCAGTGGGGACGGTGCTACTGGTTGGGGCTGTGGGGTCCGCATGAGAGGCTGCTGTTGCTCCTGGTGGTGTGCCCTTGCCCGGCCCTGCATCTGTCTTTCTTCCTCCCACCACTGCTGCTGCTCCTGCTGCATCTCCTGCCCCTCCTGCTGCTGCGGCTGCTGCAGGTGCAGGTGGTGTGGTGGCGAGGAGGGAGGGAGGGCGAGCGGGGCGGGAGGTGGGCATGGAGGAGACGGAGGCAGCACGAGATGCATCCCAGAAGTCAATGCTGCGCACGCTGCTGGGGGCCAGTGGGGGCAATGGGGGCAATGGGGGCAATGGGGGCGGGGGTGATGAATGGATGGATGCGGGAGACAAAGGTCGGGATGAGTGTGAGGTGGAGACGGATTGCAACCCAGAAGTCAATGCTGCGCACACTGCTGGGGGCCAATGGGCGCACAATGGGGGCGAATCATGGGGGTGGTGAGGTGGAAGTGATGGGTGGGGAGGCAAGGGCGAGATACGTGTAAGATGGAGGAATTGCAGGGCAGGAATGCCCGAAGTGGTTCTAGGAGGAGGGTGATGGTGATGGTGGTGATGGTGGTGATGGTGGTGATGGTGGTGATGGTGGGGATGGTGGTGATGGTGGGGATGGTGGTGATGGTGGTGATGGTGGTGATGGTGGTGATGCTGTTGGCGATGGCGATAGACAAAGACGACGATGAACGGAAGCGGGGACCCAGTGATGTGGCTATGGATAAATGTCTCCATGGATGCATGAGTGCATGAGCGCATGGGTGGATGCATCAACCTCTCCCTATTCCAATCCTTTTTTTCAACCACGTTCCACTCACCCCACTCCCCTTTTCAACTCCCACCACCACTCCCCTTTCACTCCCCCCCCCCACCATCCCCTTCCCTGACCCCCCCTCACACACACCTGGAGGAATCATCTCCAGTGGAGGGGTCTAGGTGCAAGGCGGAGTGCCAAAAGCACTGCATAAATGCTCCAAGCGACTTCTGAGTCGACTCAAAAACCACCCACCCCTCCACCCCCTCCCTACCCCCTCCCCCCCTCACACAAACACCTAGAGGCATCATCCCCAGTGGAGGGGTCTAGGCGCAGAGCAAAGTTCCAGAAACCCTGTGTTGCATTAGTGCCCCGAGCAATTTCTGATTGAACTCAGAAACCCTGCGCCCCCTAGCCCCCTCCCCCCCCAGACACACACCTGGAGGCATCATCGCCAGTGGAGGGGTCTAGGCGCAGGGCGGAGTCCCAGAATCGCTGCATGAGCGCTCCAAAGGATTTCCGAATCAAATCAGAATCAACACCCTTCCTTTTCCACCTCTCGTCCCCCTCCTCCCCACACCCACCTGGAAGCATCATCGCCAGTGGAGGGGTCTAGGCGCAGGGCGGAGTCCCAGAATCGCTGCATGAGCGCTCCAAACGTCTCGTTGCTGCCGCTGCCACCGCCGCCACCGGCACCGGCACCGACAGCACCGCCGCTGCTGCTGTTGTTACCCTCCCCTGATGCTGCACACTGCTGCTGACGGGGGATGGGGGAATAGGGATGGGGATGGGGATGGGGATGGGGATGAAGATGGGGGATGGGGGGGGTGGGGATGGGACAGTGTAGGACGAGGGAGAGCAGGGAAGAAGGGGGAGGTGAGGGAGGGGAATGGTGGAGAATGGGAGTGGGGTCAATAAGGAAAGGGGTTCGTAGGGGTTGGGCTAGTCGAGAGGGTTGAATGTATAGCTTTTGAGAATTGTCAACAGAGGGTTGTATTGCCGGTGGTAATATGCAGCCGTGGTGAGGCTTGGAGGGGAATAGGTGGTGGACGGACGTTCTTGAGCAAAGGGGAGGAAAGCGGGATGAGAGGACGATGACTGAGAGTGGGTTGAGAGGAGTAGGACTGAGAGAGTGGGGTGAGAGGAGTAGGACTGAGAGAGTGGGGTGAGAGGAGTAGGACTGAGAGAGTGGGGTGAGAGGAGTAGGACTGAGAGAGTGGTGTGAGAGGAGTAGGACTGAGAGAGTGGTGTGAGAGGAGTAGGACTGAGAGAGTGGTGTGAGAGGAGTAGGACTGAGAGAGTGGGGTGAGAGGAGTAGGACTGAGAGAGTGGGGTGAGAGGAGTAGGACTGAGAGAGTGGGGTGAGAGGAGTAGGACTGAGAGAGTGGGGTGAGAGGAGTAGGACTGAGAGAGTGGTGTGAGAGGAGTAGGACTGAGAGAGTGGTGTGAGAGGAGTAGGACTGAGAGAGTGGTGTGAGAGGAGTAGGACTGAGAGAGTGGTGTGAGAGGAGTAGGACTGAGAGAGTGGTGTGAGAGGAGTAGGACTGAGAGAGTGGTGTGAGAGGAGTAGGACTGAGAGAGTCGGGCGAGAGAAGGAGGGGGTGTGTGCCATGCCATGAGGCGTAACATTGCCTAACGTTGTCAGATACACAGACGGCATCCACTGATCGGACATTGCATGGCATGGCATGGCATGGCATGGCATGGCATGGCATGGCATGGCATGGCATGGCATGGCATGGCATGGAATATTGGGGAAGAGAGGCATACCGGGGTGGCGAGTGCCTCGTGGATGAGGTGAATGACGTCCACACATGCCACACAGTTGCCGTCTGATCATGCTCGTGTCGTGACAGCCACACACACGAGAAACCGCGAGTACAAATATGAACGCACGCACGGAGGGTGGAGGGGCGGGAGAGACCAAAACAAGGAGGGAGAGGGAAGGGGAGTGTGAAGGGGGGAAACTGATTATGGCACAAAACGCGACGGTAGAGAAGGGAAGAGGCGGAGGGAAAGGAAGTTGAGAGAAGCTGAACTATGGAACGAGCACAGAAGGGAAGGGAAGGGCATGGTGGGAAAGAAAGGGCATGGGAAGAACGAAAAGGAAGAGCACGAGACAGACATAGCGTTGGAAGCAAGAGAGAACTTGGTAGAGAACTTGGGAGAGAACTTGGGAGAGAACTTGGGAGAGAACTTGGGAGAGAACTTGGGAGAGAACTTGGGAGAGAACTTGGGAGAGAACTTGGGAGAGAACTTGGGAGTGAACTTGGGAGAGAACTTGGGAGTGAACTTGGGAGTGAACTTGGGAGTGAACTTGGGAGTGAACTTGGGAGTGAACTTGGGAGTGAACTTGGGAGAGAACTTGGGAGTGAACTTGGGAGTGAACTTGGGAGTGAACTTGGGAGTGAACTTGGGAGTGAACTTGGGAGAGAACTTGGGAGAGAACTTGGGAGAGAACTTGGGAGAGAACTTGGGAGAGAACTTGGGAGAGAACTTGGGAGAGAACTTGGGAGTGAACTTGGGAGTGAAATTGGGAGTGAACTTGGGAGTGAACTTGGGAGTGAACTTGGGAGTGAACTTGGGAGTGAACTTGGGACTGAACTTGGGACTGAACTTGGGACTGAACTTGGGAGTGAACTTGGGAGTGAACTTGGGAGAGAACTTGGGAGAGAACTTGGGAGAGAACTTGGGAGAGAACTTGGGAGAGAACTTGGGAGAGAACTTGGGAGAGAACTTGGGAGAGAACTTGGGAGGGAACTTGGGAGAGAACTTGGGAGTGAACTTGGGAGTGAACTTGGGAGTGAACTTGGGAGTGAACTTGGGAGTGAACTTGGGAGTGAACTTGGGAGTGAACTTGGGACTGAACTTGGGAGTGAAGTGAAGGAGGCGGATCGAGGAAGAGAGGGGTTGAAGAGTCAAGGATGGGTGTGATGGTGAGTGTGAGTGTGGGTGTTGGTGTGGCCGTGAGTGCGACTGTGTATGTGAGAGTGAGTGGGGGTAGGTGGGTGCAACCGTGAAGGTGTGCGGGTGTGGGAGAGGAGAGGGCACCTTTATCAACGACAGGGAGGTGCAGGAAGCGGCCGTCGTGCATGAGATGAAGCGCCTCCACCACCGGCGTGTTCAGACTCGCACACTCGGGACTCGCTGTCATGGCCTGTTGTATGCCCATGCACACATGCACCCATGCATGCACCCACACACCCATGCATGCACCCACACACCCATGCATGCACCCATGCACCCATGCAAGCACCCATGCACCCATGCACCCATGCACCCATGTAAGCATCCATCCAGGCATTTTCAATAAGGAAATTAACAAGCCTGAAAGGAGAGGCACAACACGAGGTGGGAGTAAAAAACTGCAGTGAGTGGTTCGTGCTGTGTCCCTCAACACGCAACATCTGCCCCACCCCCACCTCTGCCCCACCCTTGCCTCTGCCCCACCCCCACCTCTGCCCCACCCCGGCCGCTGCCCCACCTCTGCCTCTGCACGTATGTTCCTGCAGGGGTGCGCCTGCCAGAGTCTCTCCGCTCTGCCTGTGTGTTCATATGCGTGAGAGGCACACCCATGCAGCAAGCCCAGCCGCACCGCACCGCACCCACCACACCACATCCACATGCGCACTGGGCTGGATCATGCCTGTGTGCCGTGTTTTGAGTCGACTCAAAACGAGCACCAACTACTCACCTCCTTAACCTGCACAATGTGTGGGTCCAGTCCAGCCTCATCAAGAGTATCTAGGCGCCTAAAAAGGCCGTCTCTTGCCATGCCTGTGTGCCTGCGGGCATGTCAGCCTGCCTGCCTGCCTGCATGCCTGTGTGTGCGTGCCTGCGTCTGGGTGAGTGTGGTCCATCGCTCACCTTCTTGACCTGCACGATGTTTGGGTCCAGCCCTGTGACAAGCACTCGCAGCAGAATGTCCTTGGAGCTGTGTGTGCGGCAGGGCGAGGGGAGAAAGGGAAAGGGGAGACAGGGAGAGGGGAGAGAATGGAGAGAGTGGAGAGAGGGGAGAGAAGGGAGAGAAGGGAGAGAAGGGAGAGAAGGGAAAAGAGGAAGAGAGGAAAAGAGGAAGAGAGGAAGAGAGGAAGAGAGGAAGAGAAGGGAGAGAGTGGACGGAGGATGGATGGAAGGAAGGAAGGAAGGAAGGAAGGAAGGAAGGAAGGAAGGAAGGAAGGAAGGAAGGAAGGAAGGAAGGAAGGAAGGAAGGAAGGAAGGAAGGAAGGAAGGAAGGAAGGAAGGAAGGAAGGAAGGAAGGAAGGAGGGAGGGAGGGAGGGAGGGAGGGAGGGAGGGAGGGAGGGAGGGAGGGAGGGAGGGAGGGAGGGAGGGAGGGAGGGAGGGAGGGAGGGAGGGAGGGAGGGAGGGAGGGAGGGAGTGAGGGAGGGAGGGAGGGAGGGAGGGAGGGAGGGAGGGAGGGAGGGAGGGAGGGAGGGAGGGAGGGAGGAAGGAAGGAAGGAAGGAAGGAAGGAAGGAAAGCGAGAGGTGGCACGGGAAAGGAATGCATGAAGTTGCATCATGAGGCGGAGCAATGGCACGCAGGAAGGGAGGCAGGACAGTGGTATCGAGGAACTACAGGGAGTTCGGGAGGGAGACGGGGAGGGGAGGGCGAAAAGCAACAGGGACACGGTAGGGGAGGGGGTTGTGGTCGGGTGGGTGGGTGCGTGGGTGGGTGCGTGGGTGGGTGCGTGGGTGGGTGGGTGCGTGGGTGGGTGGGTGCGTGGGTGGGTGGACTCACGTGAGAATACCCATGGGCCTGCCGGTGCGGCTGTGACCCGCGCCTGCTCGCACCGCCGCTGCTGCTGCGCCTGACGCAGCAGGACCCGTTGCAGCAGCATTGCCAGCAGAGGCGGTTGTGGTATTGGCGGTGTGGGCATGTGAGTGTGTGTGCGACGAGGGCACGACGATAACGGCGGTGACGCCTCGGCTGTGCATGGTGGCGGCTGCTGCAGCCACTGTGGCGTTCGGGTCCACTGTCACTGGACTGGTGTGGTGGGGCGGATGAAGGGGCGGGGGCGCACAGGGCAGCGGCACACAGGGTGAGGTGGAGTAATGGGGAGGCGGATGGGAGGGAGGGGGGGAGGGAGAGAGGGAGGCGGAGGGGGGGGGGAGAAGGAGAAAGGAGTAGGAAAAAAAGGACGTAAGGTGGAACGGTACGGGAGTGAATGAAGGAGACGGGGAGGAGGTGAGGTGGGAGTGAGGGTTAGCGCAGGGCAGGGCGAGAGTGAGGTTCATTCAAACATGGGGTGTGGGACACGGAGTGTGGTGATGTGGAGAGAACATTGGCATCGTCGGGTGTGTATTCGTGTGTTGATGTTGCTGAGGCGAGAGGCACAGGCATCTTGGTGCACAGGTGGGGTGAGATAACAGAGCACCGCGTGCACATATGGGTACAGGCAGCATGAGCATGTGCTTGAGCAGCAACATCAACATCCCACCTGGTTTCATCACCAATGAGATTGGCAAGCGTGGGTCGAGCAATCTTATCTCGCAGCGACCCCAGGAACCCTGCGGCAGGGGGGGGGCGGAATGGGAGTGCACGGGACAGGTATGGCAGTATTGCACGGAGAGGGCAGAGCAGGTGAGGGAAGCGGGAGGGTACGGCAGGCAGGGTGGCAGCACGGGGCATGCACGGAAATGTGGGCAATGAATGCTACTACATCGCCAAGGCAGTGCCCGTTGCTGCTGATCCTTGCTGCCCTAAGGGAACGCGTCCTGCTCTCTCGCACCACCCTATCGCCCTCCCTTGTCACCCATGCCCTTTTCAGTCCCCATCCATCACTACACTGTGCCTCTCAACCTTCCTTTCTGTCCCCGCATTCCCCTTCCCTCCAGCCCCCCCAATCCCATCGTAATCCCTCTTCCTCCACCACCACCGGATCCCACACCCCCCTACTCACCAGCACTGCTCGCCACTCCCGGCTCCCTCTTTCCATCCTCAGCAGCGGCCGCGGCGGCGGCAGCAGCAGCAGCGAGCGCGTGGCCGTGCAGGGCGGAGTCGGTGAGAAGGTGCGAGCGCGCTATGGCGTCGTGCAGGCAGCGCGTGACATCCAGCATCGCCACCACCTCACCACGAGACACCACTGGCAGATGCCGGAAGCCACCTGGTGGGGGGGGATGGGCAGAGCAGCAGAGAAGAGGCGCACATGGGAGTTGGAGGTGGGGGGGGTGGGGGGTGGAGGTTGGTGCAGGCAGCGTGTGACGTCCAGCATCGCCACCACCTCGCCACGAGAAACCACCGGCAGGTGCCGGAACCCGCCTGTGAGGCGGTGGCTCAAAGAGTGAGAGGGGAGGGGCGTGGGAGGGAAGGGGTATGGAGGGTTGTGGGAGAATGGAGTTAGGGGTGCGGTTACTGTGTGTGCAGGCAGCGCGTCACGTCCAGCATCGCCACAACCTCGCCGCGAGACACCACTGGCAGGTGCCGGAACCCTCCTGGTGCATGGGGGGCGTGGGGGCAGGGAGGGTGAGATAGATGGGTGTGGAAGGATGGAGTTAGGGTGTGGTTGGTTGCTGTGTGGAGAAGGGCTGTGATGGAGGAGGAGAGTGAGCAGAGCAGCAGAGTAGAGACGGAAAAGGGAGTTGGGGGGTGGCGGAGGAGGGTGGGGATGGGGGGAAGGGGGGGGTGTGAGGTGGGGATGGAGATTGGTGCAGGCAGCGCGTTACGTCCAGCATGGCCACCACCTCGCCCCGAGAAACCACTGGCAGGTGCCGGAACCCTCCTGATGGATGCACGGGGATGAGCGTGGCAGGGGCGTGGGTGGACGGGAAGGCGAGGGTCGTGGGAGGGGCGTGGGAGGGGGGTGAGAAGGGCGTGGGAGGGGCGTGGGGGAGCCATGGGAATGGCGTATGGTGTTAGGGGTGTGGAGGAGGGCCGGGATGGAGGAGAGCGAGCAGAGCAGCAGAGAAGAGATGAAATGGGGTTGGGGGGAGGGGATGAGGCAACGGAGTGCATGCAATGCAATGCAATGCAATGCAATGCAATGCAATGCAATGCAATGCAATGCAATGCAGCAGAGAGGATTCTCGTGGTTGAATTGCAAGGGCGTTGGCTGGAGAGAAAGGAGGGAAGCGCGGGGGGAGGGGGAAGAGAAGAGGGGAAAGAGAGGTGGGGGGAGAAGGGGCAGGAGAGGAAGGGGGGTTTTAGGGAGAGAAACGGAGTGAGGAGAGGGTGACCCAAGATCCCGCCTGCCAATCCCCCACCCTCCCCTCCTCCTCTCTTTACGACCAGAATTCATATCCCCATCCGCCTCCATCCATCCTCTTCCCCTCCCCTGCCCCTCTCCCTTTTTCCCTCCCCCTCTCCCCCTTCCTTCCCCCACTACACTTTCCCTCTCGCTCTTCCCCTTCCTCACCCCCTCTCCCATCTCCTCCTCTCCCCTTCCCTCCCCCTCCATTCCCCCTCTCCCCTTTCCCTCCCCCCTCAAACCCTTCCCCCCCCCCTCTTCCCTCCCCCCTCCCCTCCCCCACTTCCCCCCCTCTTCCCTCCCCCCTTCCCTCCCCTCTTCCCTCCCCCCTTCCCTCCCACCTTCCCTCCCCCCTTCCCTCCCACCTTCCCTCCCACCGTCCCTCCCACCTTCCCTCCCCCCGGTACTCCCCCCGGCTCTCCCCCTTCCCCCCCCAGCGCGCACCGCGCATCATCTTGTTGAGGGCGTCCATGGCGGACGAGCTGCACAGTACAGCATGGTGCCTCTTCTCCCCCATCCACAACCCACTCACCCTCTCCCCTTTCCTTCCCAATTTCCCCCTCCCCCCCCCCCCCCCAGCAGCGCGCACCTCGCATCATCTTGTTGAGGGCGTCCATGGCGGACGAGCTGCACAGTACAGCATGGTGCCTCTTCTCCCCCATCCACAACCCACTCACCCTCTCCCCTTTCCTTCCCAATTTCCCCCTCCCCCCCCCCCCCCCCAGCAGCGCGCACCTCGCATCATCTTGTTGAGGGCGTCCATGGCGGACGAGCTGCACAGTACAGCATGGTGCCTCTTCTCCCCCATCCACAACCCACTCACCCTCTCCCCTTTCCTTCCCAATTTCCCCCTCCCCCCCCCCCCCCCCAGCAGCGCGCACCTCGCATCATCTTGTTGAGGGCGTCCATGGCGGACGAGCTGCACAGTACAGCATGGTGCCTCTTCTCCCCCATCCACAACCCACTCACCCTCTCCCCTTTCCTTCCCAATTTCCCCCTCCCCCCCCCCCCCCCCCAGCAGCGCGCACCTCGCATCATCTTGTTGAGGGCGTCCATGGCGGACGAGCTGCACAGTACAGCATGGTGCCTCTTCTCCCCCATCCACAACCCACTCACCCTCTCCCCTTTCCTTCCCAATTTCCCCCTCCCCCCCCCCCCCCCCAGCAGCGCGCACCTCGCATCATCTTGTTGAGGGCGTCCATGGCGGACGAGCTGCACAGTACAGCATGGTGCCTCTTCTCCCCCATCCACAACCCACTCACCCTCTCCCCTTTCCTTCCCAATTTCCCCCCCCCCCCCCCCCCCAGCAGCGCGCACCTCGCATCATCTTGTTGAGGGCGTCCATGGCGGACGAGCTGATGCGCACAAACTGAGGCTGACGTGTCATGATGACGTGGCATGGCGTGGAGTCCACGCGCCTGCCCTCTCCCACGCACCGCAACGCAATGTCCTGTGTTCCATGTGCATGCACCATGCACACCATGCACCATGCACCATGCACCATGACCCATGACCCATGACCCATGACCCATGACCCATGCACCATTACCCACGACACATACAGGATAGATGCATGCAGCACACAGGACGCCCCATGCCCCATGAACAGAGCATGGCAGCCCAATCTCCGTGAAACAAGGCCTTTGGTGCTCACCCCACACACACACACATGCCATCCATCCCCCATTCCCCACCCCATACCATACCATACCATCGACCATGCCAGACCCCATCCCATCGTGTTGCATGCACTCACACACACACTCAGCAGAGCGGCGGGCACAGGACAAGGCAGGTATGTGAACAAATGGGCTCACTCACATCACATCACACATACACCAACCATGCAATGCATCTGATGCCCACGCCATGCCCTGCACATGCGCATAGCATACCATTCCCCTGCCCATCGTGCATCCCACGCATGCCACGCGTGCAACAATAGCCCACCCGGTCCAACGTTATGCCGTTGCTGCCGGGTGGGTGTGATGTCCTGCCATGCCATGCCATGCCATGCCATGCCATTCCATTCCATTCCATGCATGGCATGGCATGGCACCCACCCGGTCGGACATGATGCCACACAGCAGCCCGTTGCTGTCCGCTCAGCAACGACCCCCCCACGTGCAATCCCTCCCCCCCTCCCCCCCCTCCCGCAGCAGCAGCCACATCACACCCTCCCGGTCGCACCCACCTGGTCGCACCCACCCGGGCGGACATGATCCCGCACAGCAGCCCGTTGCCGCCCCCCCCACATGCCCACGCCATGCCATTCCCCTGCCCTTAGCCCATCCCCGCCCATGGCCACGTGCAGGAGGAGGCATCGCACTCACCCGGTCGGACATGATGCCGCACAGCAGCCCGTTGCTGTCCGTGAGCAGGCACGCGTCCACGCGCCGCGCCGCCATGCGCCTGGCGGCCTCCGCCACGGCCGTGCTGTCCGCCATGATCAGCGCCTTCGACAGCCGCAGCCGCCGCACCGTGCGCTCCTTGCTGCCCCCGTGGGGAGGGGGGGCGGCGCGCGGATTGGGGGAGGGGGAGGGAAGGGGGCGGGGGGGATAGAGGGGCGGACAGAGGAGTGAGAGGGGGGGAGAGGGGAGGGGGGAATAACGGGGGGAGAAAGGGGGAGAGAACGGACGCGCGTGAGGATTGGTTTGGCGACAAGCGGGGCAAAGCGGGGACCTATGAGGGTAGCCTATTGAGGTGAAGTGGAGCTGGTTGGAGCGCGGTGGGGTGGGGTGGGGTGGGGTGGGGTGGGGTGGGGTGGGGTGGGGGTCGCAATGCGGGAAGACGGTGGGAAACTCGAGAAAGGAAAGGAACGTCTAGGGCGCTCGGGTTTGGAATTTAAGCTTTATGGGAAGTGAGTTCGCAATGCGCCGTCGTGCTTTGCCGAGTGCTCCGCTCGTGCGCCCACGAAACTACGTTGAATCAACTCGCATGCACGCACGCCCGCAACCGCACCTGCCGCCGACAGCCCCGCTGCTGCTGGACGGCCTCTTAACGTTGCGCGAGCCGGCATTCCCCGTGCTGCCGCTCGTCGCGCGAGCAGCGCTGGCGGAATCCTCCGCCTGCCTCTGGCCCGCGGCGGGCGGAGGCTGCGACCGTCGGCGCTGGGCGCCTGGCGAGCGCGCGGGGCTGGGGGACGGGGACGGCATTGCGCCGGCCGGCGCGGCGGGACCTGGCGGTGCGGGGTCGTCAAGCTTGGGCGGATTCATGGCGACGATTGGATAAGGTCGCAGAGACCGATGCTGCGCTAGTTGATGTTTTCATGAAGTCAAGATGTCATGACGCGACGATTGCATGGTGAGGGTGAATCTGAACTGAAAGCTGGATTGGTTTGCAGGGAGGGAGGGAATGAACGAACGAACCTCGAAAACTGATGGGAAGCTTGCTGGTTTGAAGGGGGGGCAATCGCGAATCTCCGTTATAGTGCAGCTCAAACACCAGCGTGCCGTTTGTTTCAAGAAAGTATGTATGACCACCAGGAAATACTGGAATCATAGGATTGCTAACTCCTGTTTTCACAGGCTTACAGCCCGGACAATATTTGGAGATTTATTTACTGGGAATCATACCCTAGAACTGCCAGAGGAACTTGACCTAAGTAATCAAGTTAGAGAGCAACTGTAGTGACTGAACCGTGGTGCGTGCATCGTGCAATTACAGCACTGTTAGATGATATAATGCATATAATGTCTGGTGAACAACATCAATCTCATCTCATCATCCCATACACTTAGTCTTGCCTCGTGATTGTGTTAAGGGTTATTCCTCTGACTAAAACAGTGAGCCAGCCGGGTTAGTCACGTCACACCAAGCTCAGAGCATGGTGCAAGCCCTAAACCCTAAACAGATCAGTCAGAGTGATATTACTTGTACTAGCAGCAAGCCCCCTCGTTCTTCCTCTTCCTCTTCCTCTTCCTCTTTCCTCTTCATCTTCCTCGTCCTCTCTTCCTCTCCCTCTTCAGGCTGCGCCTACCCTCGACCGCCCTCGCTCTCCTCGCCCATGTCCCAACCGTCCACCTGCCACCACCACAGCTCCACAGCACCATCACCCGTCTCCTTGAACGCCACGCCCATGCCATCCTCCCCTGCTGCTGCCACCACTGCCTGCTGCTCCCCCACCGTCCCTGCCACCACTGCCTGCTGCTCCCCTACCTTCCCTGCTGCTTCCTTCTCCCCACCACTGACACCAGAAGAACCAGACTCCTTCTCCTGTACCTTACCGCTGATTCCTGTGCCGCTGTCACTTACCGCTCTCACCCCATCCCCCTCCTTCCTCTCCTTGCTCACCCTCTCACTGTCACCAGTGCCATCAGCAGCACCAGCGCCATCAGCATCATCACCAACACAGCCTGCAGCTGCTGCCTTCCCAGCCTCCTGCCCTTGCAACGCTGCCCCGTCCACCACTTCCCTCCCCTCTCCTCCTCCCCTTCCTCCCTCTCCTTCCCCTCCTCCGTCTCCACTTCCTCCCTCACCCCATGCCGCACCTGCAAGTATCCACTCGTCCACACCCACACCACCACCACCCACTGCATCAACAACATCATCACAACCATCACCCACCTCTTCCTCCTCCTCTGCCCATTCATCCAACTCACACCACACGCCATCGGCCCACACGCCTTCCCATTCATCTCCTTCCTCCTCATCCTCCCCCACGGCACCATATCTACCAGCACGGCCTCTCCCCAACGTCTCTCCTGCCTGCAACGACAGCACACCACCACCACCACCAGTGCCGCCAACACTGTCATCGACACTCATGAACCCTGAAATGCCTGCGCCCTTGTCTGTGCCTTCTGTGCCTCGTGTGGCCTGCTCGGCTGTGCTGCCTGCACTCACACCCACCTCCTCTTCCCCTGTGGCTGCTGTGAATTCCTCTTCCTCTCCCTCTCCCTCTTCCCCCACTCCCTCTTCTACTTCCTCTCCCGCTCCCTCTCCCTGTCTCCCCCCTTCTGTCACCACCAACACCCCACCACTCTCACTCACTTCAGTGCTTTCACACTTCTGGTCACTGGCACCGTCCTCCACGTCTCTTACCACCGTGTCTCCAACTCCTTCACCACCAACCACCATCTTCTCTACCTCTTCTCCTTCACTCTTCCCACCGCGCCGCTCCTCCTCTCCTTCGCCTTCCGGCTCCGCTCCATTCCTCTCCTCTGTCTCGACTAACGCCTTCCCTCCTCTCTCCACTATCTCGCTTCCACTCGCCTCTTCCCCTCGTTCTGTCTCTGTGCCTATTTCTTCTTTGCTCTCTTCCTCTTCTTCTAGCTTCCCTTCCTCTCTGCTTCGTCCAACCTCTCCTTGCTCCTCATGTGTCTCTTGTGCCTCCTCCTTTGTCTCTCGTGCCTCCTCCTTTGCCTTTTGTGCCTCCTGCTTTGTCTCTTGTGCCTCCTCCTGTGTCTCTCGTGCCTCCTCCTTTGTCTTTTGTGCCTCCTGCTTTGCCTCTTGTACCTCCTCATGTGTCACTTGTGCCTCCTCCTTTGTCTCTTGTGCCTCCTCCTGTGTCTCTTGTGCCTCCTCCTTTGTCTCTTGTGCCTCCTCCTTCGTCTCTTGTGCCTCCTCTTTTGTCTCTTGTGCTTCCTCCTTTGTCTCTTGTGCCTCCTCCTTTGTCTCTTGTGCCTCCTCCTGTGTCTCTTGTGCCTCCTCCTTTGTCTTTTGTGCCTCCTCCTTTGTCTCTTGTGCCTCCTCCTTTGTCTCTTGTGCCTCCTCCTTTGTCTCTTGTGCCTCCTCCTGTGTCTCTTGTGCTTCCTCCTTTGTCTCTTGTGCCTCCTCTTTTGTCTCTTGGGCTTCCTCCTTTGTCTCTTGTGCCTCCTCTTTTGTCTCTTGTGCTTCCTCCTTTGTCTCTTGTGCCTCCTCCTTTGCCTCTTGTGCCTCCTCCTTTGTCTCTTGTGCCTGCTCTTTGGTCTCTTGTGCCTCCTCCTTTGTCTCTTGTGCCTCCTCCTTTGTCTCTTCTCCCTCCTCCTTCGTCACTTGTGCTTCCTCTTTTGTCTCTTGTGCCTCTTCCCTTGCCTCTTGTGCCTCCTCCCTTGTCTCTTGTGCTTCCTCCATCGTCTCTTGTGCCTCCGCCTTAGTCTCTTGTCCTTCCTCCTTTGTCTCTTGTGCCTCCTCCTTTGCTTCTTGTGCTTCCTCTTTCATCTCGTGTGCTTCTTCCCTCGTCTCTTGCACCTCACCCATTACGTCCTCACCCCCCATCATCTCATCGTGCTCCACCATCACTTCTTCAATCCTCTCTATTTCTCCTTCCACTCTTACCTTTCCCTCGCTCTCTCCCACCACTCCCACCTCCCATTCTCCCTCCTTCAACTCCATTTTCCCTATAACGTCTCCTGCGCCCTCCTCCACCTCTCTTTTCCCCTGCTCCTCTCCTTCACTTTTCTCCACCTCCTCTTCTCGCTGCACCTCTCCCTTCCCTTTTACATCCTCTTCTCTCTCCACTCCTCCTCCCCCTTTTACCTCGTCTTCTCCCTCCTCCCCCTCTCCTGCCTCCGTTACCACTCCTGCACCCTCGTCCACCTCCCCTCTCCCCTTCACCTCCCCTTCTCTCTCCTCCACCTCTCCCCTCGCCTCCACCTCTAATCTCCCCATCACAAGCTCATCGCCTTCCTCTCCCTCTCCCCCTGCCTCCCCCCGTACTCCTCCCTCCCCATTTCTGCACTCCGCCTCCCCCAGATCACAGTCATGCCGTGAATCCCCGCCCTCACTGCCACTACCGTCCACCGAACCTGCGCCCGCCTCTTCCCCCTTACCTGCCGCCTCTCTCTCTCTCTCACTCCCACTCTCCTCCGTGCCCTCACTCTCATTCCCACTCGCACCCGTGTCACCACTCCCCTCCACGGGTGCTCCCTGCACTCCTGTCAGGATATCATCTCTATCCGCCATCAACCCTTCACCACCCTCTATCACAGCCACTGTCGCCCCATCCTCAATGCTACTGACCAACCCAAGCGCTACCAACTCCTCCTCTCCATTCCTCCCCACTGCTTCCCCCACTGCTTCCCCTATTGCGTCCCCTATTGCGTGCCCTACTGCCTCCCCCACTCTCTCTACCTTCTCCGGCCCCACTTGCGCCTCCTCTGTCTCTCCACTCTTCCCCCTCGCCCACTCCTCGTGTGTCACGCCATGCTCGTCTGTGGATGCCGAAACGGCCCTGATTGTTTCTGCTGCTGTGCCATCCTCTCTGCCTTCCGCTTTCGCCTCCCCTTCCTCCTCACTTGCTTCCACTGCCAATGTCCCTACCCACCGCTCCTCCTCTTCCGCTTTCACAGTCTCTCCCACTTCCTCTCCCTCTTCCTCTTCATCTTTCACAGTCTCTCCCACTTCCTCTCCCTCTTCCTCTTCATCTTTCACAGTCTCTCCCACTTCCTCTTCATCTTTCACTTCATCATCCATCTTCTCTTCCTCCCCCTCGGCCTCCTCCTCATCTATCCGTGTCTCCTCGCCGTCCCTCTCCACATTCACTTCATCTGTCACTCCCTCTTCTCCCTCACTCGCGCCCCACACACCACCACTCATTGCCACCCCTGCCAGCATTGCCGCCCCTGCCACCCCTGCCACCCCAGCCACCACACCTGCTACCCCTGCACTCGCACCAACAGAGCCTAGCATATCACTCGCCCTATTCGGCTCACCACTACCAGCACCTCCCGTCTCTGTCACTCCTGCCACTGCTGCCGTTAATGCAAACCCTTCGTTTTCTTCTATACATGCGTCTTCCCCCCTCCCTTCTCTTCGTCCCACCACCCCTGTTGCTCCACTTGCTGCTGCCGCTCCTGCCACTCCCATTGTACCTTTTTCCTGTCGTCCTCTGCTTCCTCCGCTTCCTCCGCTTCCTCCGCTTCCTCCGCTTCCTCCTGGACTGCCTCTTGCCATTCCTGCTGCGCCCACAAATATCTCCCCACTACGGCCCCCCTCACCACCATCCCACACGGGAATCAGCACAGGATCCGTTACACCCACAGGACCAGACTTAGAAGCATGATCCGGAGCTTCACTATAACGAGGATACTCCTCCCATGCTTCCTGTTCCTCTAATTGCTGCCGCTGCTGCTCACGTTGCCATGCACCTTGGTGTGTGCCATAGTAATAGGCGTCTTGAGTACCTGCTTCACCTATCGCAGCCGCTGGCGCTGCTGTTGCTCCTGCTTCTTCTCCTTCTCCTTCTCCTTCTGGTGGCAGTGGTGGCAGCACGACTGTATCGTTCACTGTTATGCGCCGACCATAGGCTGCTGCTGATGATGATAATGAGGCGGAGGAAGAGGTAGAGGAGGATGAGGAGGACGAGGACGATGGCGCTGACGTGGAAGATGATGCTGACGTGGATTGCCATGCAGGCAGGGAAGCTGGCAGTGGTTCCGAGGAGGTGAGCTGGAGCGACAGCAGCTCTGCTTGCTGTGCTTGGGGCGACAGTGTATTGAGCGAGAAATGCTCATGTGGGGATGCATCCAGAGGATCCTCATATAAGGATGACTGAGAGGAAGCAGTAGCTGCAGGTGTGTAAGATGCACGAATCACTGGTGGTGAGGGTGTGGGTGCGCCTGGATAGAGGGACGGCGCAGGGGTGGGAGGTCTCGCAGTGACGGCTGTTGCAAGGGGAAAAGGCGGATATGATTCTTGCTGCTGCTGCTGCTGCTGCTGCTGCTGCTGCTGCTGCTGCTGCTGCTGCTGCTGCTGCTGTTGCTGCTGATGTTGCTGCTGCGTCTTGTGTGTGGTGGAAGAAGGGGAGGAGGAGGAGGCGAGGGGCATGATGAATCGGCGGACGGTGACAGCAGCAGCGACAGCAGCGGCGAGCAGGAAGGGAGCAGAGAGCATCACCATGCCTCTGCTGCCCATGGCAGAAACGGCTGTGCCCAGATGAGGAAGACCCAGAGGCAACTGAACATGCTGATGCTGCTGTTGGTGTCGCTGCTGGTGCTGCTGGCGCTGACGCTGTTGTGATTGTTGCTGCTGATGTTGCTGCTGATGATGCTGCGGCCTTTGTTGCTGTGGTTTAGGTGCTGTGATTAGGGGCATAGGAAAGGGCCAGGCCGACAGGGAAACAACAGAAAAGGAAGAATGATAAGAAGAAAGAGAGGGAGCGGAACTTGACTGGGGGAGACAGGAGGAGCAGTAGCAACGAAAGGGACTGTGCATTGATCCCAACACATGGAAACAGCAAGGTACTCAAGCACAGCAGCGCTGCTTTGAGTCGACTCAAAACAAGTCCCGACACATGGAGACCGCAAGGTACTCAAGCACAGCAAGGTACTCAAGCACAGCAAGGTACTCAAGCACAGCAAGGTACTCAAGCACAGCAAGGTACTCAAGCACAGCAAGGTACTCAAGCACTGCAAGGTACTCAAGCACAGCAAGGTACTCAAGCACAGCAAGGTACTCAAGCACTGCAAGGTACTCAAGCACAGCAAGGTACTCAAGCACTGCAAGGTACTCAAGCACAGCAAGGTACTCAAGCACAGCAAGGTACTCAAGCACAGCAAGGTACTCAAGCACAGCAAGGTACTCAAGCACAGCAAGGTACTCAAGCACAGCAAGGTACTCAAGCACAGCAAGGTACTCAAGCACAGCAAGGTACTCAAGCACAGCAAGGTACTCAAGCACAGCAAGGTACTCAAGCACAGCAAGGTACTCAAGCACAGCAAGGTACTCAAGCACAGCAAGGTACTCAAGCACAGCAAGGTACTCAAGCACAGCAAGGTACTCAAGCACAGCAAGGTACTCAAGCACAGCAAGGTACTCAAGCACAGCAAGGTACTCAAGCACAGCAAGGTACTCAAGCACTGCAAGGTACTCAAGCACAGCAAGGTACTCAAGCACAGCAAGGTACTCAGGCACAGCAAGGTACTCAGGCACAGCAAGGTACTCAAGCACAGCAAGGTACTCAAGCACTGCAAGGTACTCAAGCACAGCAAGGTACTCAAGCACAGCAAGGTACTCAAGCACAGCAAGGTACTCAAGCACAGCAAGGTACTCAAGCACAGCAAGGTACTCAAGCACAGCAAGGTACTCAAGCACAGCAAGGTACTCAAGCACAGCAAGGTACTCAAGCACAGCAAGGTACTCAAGCACAGCAAGGTACTCAAGCACAGCAAGGTACTCAAGCACAGCAAGGTACTCAAGCACAGCAAGGTACTCAAGCACAGCAAGGTACTCAAGCACAGCAAGGTACTCAAGCACAGCAAGGTACTCAAGCACAGCAAGGTACTCAAGCACAGCAAGGTACTCAAGCACAGCAAGGTACTCAAGCACAGCAAGGTACTCAAGCACTGCAAGGTACTCAAGCACAGCAAGGTACTCAAGCACAGCAAGGTACTCAAGCACTGCAAGGTACTCAAGCACAGCAAGGTACTCAAGCACAGCAAGGTACTCAAGCACAGCAAGGTACTCAAGCACAGCAAGGTACTCAAGCACAGCAAGGTACTCAAGCACAGCAAGGTACTCAAGCACAGCAAGGTACTCAAGCACAGCAAGGTACTCAAGCACAGCAAGGTACTCAAGCACAGCAAGGTACTCAAGCACAGCAAGGTACTCAAGCACAGCAAGGTACTCAAGCACAGCAAGGTACTCAAGCACAGCAAGGTACTCAAGCACAGCAAGGTACTCAAGCACAGCAAGGTACTCAAGCACAGCAAGGTACTCAAGCACAGCAAGGTACTCAAGCACAGCAAGGTACTCAAGCACAGCAAGGTACTCAAGCACAGCAAGGTACTCAAGCACAGCAAGGTACTCAAGCACAGCAAGGTACTCAAGCACAGCAAGGTACTCAAGCACAGCAAGGTACTCAAGCACAGCAAGGTACTCAAGCACAGCAAGGTACTCAAGCACAGCAAGGTACTCAAGCACAGCAAGGTACTCAAGCACTGCAAGGTACTCAAGCACAGCAAGGTACTCAAGCACAGCAAGGTACTCAAGCACTGCAAGGTACTCAAGCACAGCAAGGTACTCAAGCACAGCAAGGTACTCAAGCACAGCAAGGTACTCAAGCACAGCAAGGTACTCAAGCACAGCAAGGTACTCAAGCACAGCAAGGTACTCAAGCACAGCAAGGTACTCAAGCACAGCAAGGTACTCAAGCACAGCAAGGTACTCAAGCACAGCAAGGTACTCAAGCACAGCAAGGTACTCAAGCACAGCAAGGTACTCAAGCACAGCAAGGTACTCAAGCACAGCAAGGTACTCAAGCACTGCAAGGTACTCAAGCACAGCAAGGTACTCAAGCACAGCAAGGTACTCAAGCACAGCAAGGTACTCAAGCACAGCAAGGTACTCAAGCACAGCAAGGTACTCAGGCACAGCAAGGTACTCAAGCACAGCAAGGTACTCAAGCACAGCAAGGTACTCAAGCACAGCAAGGTACTCAAGCACTGCAAGGTACTCAAGCACTGCAAGGTACTCAAGCACAGCAAGGTACTCAAGCACAGCAAGGTACTCAAGCACAGCAAGGTACTCAAGCACAGCAAGGTACTCAAGCACAGCAGCGCTGGTGTAACAAGTGCCTTCTTGCCACGCAAGCACGTGGTCACACAAAAAACGCTCTGCTCTTCCCCTCCTCCCCTCTTCTCTCCTCTCCTCTCCTCTCCTCTCCTCTCCTCTCCTCGCATCTCATCTCATCTCATCTCCTCTCCTCGCCTCGCCTTTCCTCTCCTCTCCTCTCCTCTCCTCTCCTCGCCTCGCCTCTCCTCTCCTCTCCTCTCCTCTCCTCTCCTCTCCTCTCCTCTCCTCTCCTCTCCTCTCCTCTCCTCTCCTCACCTGCCGCGGTTCTCCTCTCCTGCCGATGCCTTGCAGCCCGCGCTGCCGCCTGCACAAATGGGAGCGGGATGATGATTATGGCTTTCAGTTTTGAAACGACTCAAAATACTGCTGCTTTCACAGTCGCCGGCACACATGGGATCATACGGAAGGTGCTGCAGAGGGGTGAGTGTGGCTTGTCCGGTCCGGACAGCAGCAATCAAACAATCAGAAGAGCAAAAATTACAAGACATGCAAAAGAAGGGAGGGGGAGTTGGGGTTGGAGAGGGAGGGAGGGAGGGGGAGTGAAGCAGGATGAGATGGTGGATTGGAGTCAAAGGGACGAGCTTGAACAAGGCAAGGCATCAGGTTTCAGAGTTGATTGGGGGGGTGAATCGGGGGGTATGACAGTGGAAATGAGGAGCTTCGTGAATGCAAAGGGACCAGTCGGGGTTCAACTGTCAACAGCCACTGGCAGAGCAGAGCAGTAACCGAGTCCGGCTAGTCACATGCATGCAAGCACACGGTTACATGCACGGCATTTCATAGTCAACAGGCCTTTTCCCCCCCACAACCTCTGCTCATCTCCCTAGTCCCACCCTCCGCCCATCCCCCCAGTTCCACCCTCCGCCCATCCCCCTAGTCCCACCCTCCGCCCATCCCCCCAGTTCCATCCTCCGCCCATCCCCCTAGCCCACTTTCCGCCCATCCCCCCAACCCACCCTCCGCCCATGCCCCCTTACGCACGTGCTGCTGGTCGCGCACTTTGCAGCACATGGTGGTGCGTGTGGACTCGTCCCACTTGCCGCTCACAGGCAGCCCGTGCTGCTCCTGAAACTGCTCTATGCTCGCCCGCGTTATCGGCCCGAAGAACCTGGGGGTTGGGGGGAGGAGTGGGGGGAGGAAGTAGGGGGAGGGAGAGGAAAAGGGGCGAGGGGGGGGAGGGGGGGCAATGTGAGGCGCCTAAACCCAATCGTTGCAGCCCGTGCTGCTCCTGAAACTCCTCTATGCTCGCCCGTGTTATCGGCCCGAAGAACCTGGGGGGGGTGGGGAGGAGAGGAGGGGGAGGAGGGGCGGGGGAGCGGCGGGAGGTTGTGGGGACGGTGGGAAACGGGGGAGGTGGGAAAGATGGACGAATGAAGGTGGAAGGGGGAAGGCGGGAGGATGGAGCGGAGGAGAATGGGGGAGGAGTAGGAGGAGGGGAGATCGCATGGATTGAAGGCATGAGAAACGGGCCAGGTATGGCAGGGAAGCTTTTGGGAAAGAAAATCCAGAGGGGAGATTGGGGCGTTGATGGTAGGTGTGGCCTCAAAAGGCGGAGTGGCAGGGTTGCACGAGTTGACTTTTGAGTCGACTCAAAACTCTAAAGGCGGAGTGGCAGGGTTGCACGAGTTGACTTTTGAGTCGACTCAAAACTCAAAAGGCGGAGTGGCAGGGTTGCACGAGGCAGGGAATCTACGATGGGAAGGAAGGCGTGTCAACCGTACAGGGTGGAAGGGATGGGATGGGATGGGAGGAGGGGGGGGCCATGACGGAGACATTGAACGAATGCTGTGGCCATGCGTGCGGTAGGTAAGGGTCGCTGTGGCATGGCGAGAATGAGCGCACGCAGGCAGGCAGGCAAGCACGCAAACGAGCAAGCGGGCAGGCAATCATCCCTCACCCGGTCACCAAGGAAGCATCCGGGAAGAAGCCAAAGTGGAGCAGAGCGCTCTGTGCATCAGGAGAGAGAGGTCGGGCAGGGGAAAAGCGGGGGAGAGGGGAGAGGGGAGAGGGGCGAGGGGAGAGGGGCGAGGGGCGAGGGGAGAGGAGCGAGGGGAGAGGGGCGAGGGGAGAGGGGAGAGGGGAGAGGGGAGAGGGGAGAGGGGAGAGGGGAGGGCAAGGGGGGAGGGTGAAAGGGTGGGAACGGGAAGAGAGGGAATGGGGTGAGCGTGTATAGGTGCGGTCTGAGTTTTTAGACTTTTCCAAAGCTCAAGTACTCTGGTTCTGGGTCTGGGAGGGCCCAATTTACGGCAAACGGTGCAGGCGAGAGAGGGAACTTTGCTCCAGCCCTTCCCGCCCGCATCATTCGCCTTTCCACCTCCTCACTTCGTTGCGCCCTCCCAGGCATGGCTAGCGTGGAAAGCGCCTGACACCACCAGACATCACATCCCCTTCCCCCTTCACACATACACACGCACACACACACACACACACACACACACACACACACACACACACACACACACACACACACTTCCTCGCGTACCTGCACGTCAGCAACTTCAGGGCCGCTGTCGCCCAGGCTCAAGTCATGCAGCAGACACAGATCCGACAGCAGCCGCACCGCCCGCCCCCGCCCCCGCCCCTCAAGCCCTCCGCCGCTCTCCCCTCCGCTTCCCGCGCGCCTCTGAACCTCTCCTCCGCCCCTCGCGGCTTCACCGGAGCCCCTAGATCCTCCCGCGTTCCCTCTGGACCCCGAGTTTCCTCGTTGAGCTTCCCCCGCTCTTCCCGCGCCGCTTGCGCCGCCCGCGCGCGGAACACTGCCTCCGCTTCCAGTACTACTTCCTCCGCTTGAAATGTCACCCCCTCCGCCAACCCGCGCCCCTTGTGCGCGCGCGCTGCTGGATGCAGTGCTCCGCTGCGCCGTCGCCGACTCCGCTGCCGACGCGTCGTCTCTCCGCGCCACGGGGGCTCGGAGACTGCGCGACCCCGATCGGGAAACGCGGCGAGATGCGCGGAGCGGCGACGAGACCAAGTACGCGGAAGACGAGAGCAGAGACGTTGGAGGAAAAGGCGCGAGATGAGACAGCCTAAGGGTCGGGAGTATAAAAGCGCTCCGGTCGTACGCGCAGGCGGGGCTTTGGAAATGGGCGTTTGGGTTTAAATGGAGTTCTGCAGTGGTGTGCGCGGGGCTTGCGCGGAGGTGGGTGGGGCTCGCGACATGCGACACGGTGTGTTGCAGGGGACCACGGGAGTGCGCTGCGAGCATGGGAGCCATAGCGGCTGATTATTACAGCAGAACAGTCGTGGTGATCGTTTGTGCGGTGTCGTGAATCCCGATGTTCGGACTCCTGAAGGCGTCACGCGGAATCACTGGCGTTCCTGCTGGGCCCGTACCTACCCCACGTGTCGACCGCTGCTAGTCATAAAACAGCATGCTCAAAGGACGCCAAGCCAATCAACCAAGTTTGACGCAACGAGGAACGCCAACGAGGGAGCAAGCACGAGTTGCAATTTGCGAAGCAACGGAAATAGCTGTTCGCGACGAGTTGTGTTGCAGCGAGAATGGATCAGGCAAACCAGCGGCGAGAAGCATTTGGCCCGAAAATGCGGCGAGAGGGAAAACAGGTGGACGAGTCACGAGAGAGAAGAGGGTGAAGAGAAGGGGCCCGAACCAAGCGTAGGTGCGGGCTGGTGAGATTTGGGGGAAGGTAAGGGAGGAGGGGCGCTTCGGAGTTGGCTGTAGGTTTTGATGGATGCGGCGCGGCATCTCCTTGAGAGAGGTGAGATGCCATTGGCTGCTACTTGTTGTGGCGGGAAAAGCCAGATTCCGCGTAACGTGCTGCTGACAGATGTTCGCGGATACAGTATGCATTCTATTTCCATTCTGTGAGTTTTACACATACAGACCTAAATAATGATAGCGGACCCCTAATTTGTATAATGCCAGTACGTTCAGAATCCTTAAACAAGGTGCAAGCAAGCACCACACAACACCTCTTTTGCAAGCCACACGCTTGATCTAACGAAGAAAAAATAAATAGAAGAGCACGTGGGAGAGCACCTACATACACGTTCATGCTTTCTCCGGATACTAACTATCGGCGCGCCCTGCGCCGAAGGAATTCTGGGATGTTAGGGGCTGCTATGCGAGGCGAAGGTGGTGGCGGCGGCTGGGTCATGGGCTGTGACTGTACAGGGGTTGCTCTGTTTCCGACCACACGAGATGCCGGAGGAACCTGGGTCCATGAAAAATTCACAAAGAGTGGAGTGGAGAAATTACTGAAGCATGGAAGGTTGGTGCTATATGTGATGACGAAAACCAGTGCCATAGCGATGTGCAGTGCTGGGAGCGTATTTAGCAAGCAGGCAGAGGCAATGTCACATGTCGTGCACTGTGCTCACCGGAGGGCCCTGATCCCGCAAGCCCGTGGCGATGAGCGTGATGCTCAGCTGCAGAGGTGAGAACGTGGGACACATGGGTCAAGGGCAGGTATGTAAGGAGAAGGTGAGGGAGCGAGGAAACATGGGCAACGATTTGCTGTCGTTTTGTGACGACTGACGGGCGGCAAAGTAGGCAGGACGGAGGTTAGCTAGGTGGGACAAAGAAGAAACAGCATGGCATGGCATGGCAAGGTATGAAATGACATGCAGGCCAGGGCATGGCATGGATTGGCATGGCATGGCACGGTATGGCATGGCTCACATCTGCTCCAAGCGAGTCATCAACAACAGCCCCGAAGATGAGGTTGGCGTCTGGATGCACGAGGCGATGAATCTCCTCCGCTGCCTCATTCACCTTCCATGTGACATTGGACATGCACGCATACCGTACCGCCATTGCCCACACACACACACACACACACATGCACACACACACACACACACACACACAACCACACACACACACACACACACACACACAACCACACATGCACACACACACACATGCACATAACACACACATGCATGCGCATGCGCGCGCGCACACACACACACACACACACACACACACACACACAGGGACAGCAGAACGAAGGAACAAAACAAAGTATTAGCATCAACCCCTGTAACAACATGTAAGCCCACTTCCATTAACCATCAACAACCAGTTGAGAGCACAACCACCCTCCCACGCTAATCCCCCACCACCCCTCCCTCGCGCTGCTCCATCCACCCACCCACCTCGAGCAGGGTCATGTCGGAGGGCCCGGTGATGTTCCACACGATGCCCGTGGCCTGATCAATGGAGATCACGAATGAGGAACATGAGAGCACAATCACCCTACCCTGCTAATCTCACACCTTCCTCGCGCTCCTCCATCCACCCACCTCGAGAAGAGTCATGTCAGAGGGCCCGGTGATGTTCCACACGATGCCCGTCGCCTGATCAATGCCCACGTCCAGCAGTGGCGACTGGATCGCCGCCTGCGCTGCTAGCTTCGCCCTGCCCTTGCCTGATAGACGGAGGTCACGAGCGAGGAACATGAGAGCAGGGAGGGGTGGGGAGGAAGGGGTCGTGGATCAGGGTAGGGGGATGAGGAGGGAGGGAGGATAAGGGCGGAAGGGTATGGTAGGACGGGGGAAAGAGGAAAGCGAGAGCACTATTCTGTTGCCGGCTTCAGGAATGCTGAAGGGCAGAGTGGGTAAGGCATGGCACGAAGCTATTCAACATGGAGCTCATACTGTTAGCGAGGCACTGGGAGGAGGCAGGAAGAGGCATTTATAGCTTGCCTGCGCTGCTTTGCTGTGCGCGATCAAGTAAGCAAGTAAGGGTGTTGCTAAAAGAGCAAACTGAACAGGCCATTTCCTATTTTGGCCTTTTGTCACCAAAACCCATCCGAGTCCACCAGTTAGTCACATATCAACTGAGGAGACACCAATGCCCTCTTAAAGCCCACGGCTCACCTGATGCAATCCCAATGCCCATGAGCGAGGAGCCCGCGTTGGCCATGATCGCCCTCACATCCGCAAAGTCCACATTCACCAGCCCCGGCACCTGAGGGGTAAAAGTGGGGGGGGGGAAGGGGGGGGGGGGGGAGGGGAAGGGACTCACACAAATTAAGGGTGGGGTTGGAATTTAAACTCCACATTCACCAGACCTGGCAGCTGGAGGGGAAAGGGGGAAGAATGAACAGGAACTCATGCGTGGAAACATATCCCACTAGCACCAGCCCCAGAAATTAGAAACGAGAGGAGGGAGGGGAGGAATGCGAAGAAGGGGGGTTATACAGTGACACAGGCACACAAACAGGTAAATGGGCAGAAGAACAGGCACACACACAGGCACAGAGACACAGAGAGAGACGGACATAGAGGTGCCTCAGACAAAGGACCGTTTGAGAGGCACACAGAATGTTGCTCACCTGGATGATATCGGAGATGCCTCTGACACCCTGCCTCAGCACATCATCTGCCAGCGTGAACGCCTCATTAATGGGCGTGCTCTGCCCCACGGCCGCCAGCAGCGATTTTTAAGACGTCTCAGAAGTTGCTCACCTGGATGATATCAGAGATGCCTCGCACTCCCTGCCTGAGCACATCATCTGCCAGCGTGAACGCCTCATTGATGGGCGTGCTCTGCCCCACGGCCGCCAGCAGCTTATCATTCGGAATCACAATCAGCGCGTCCACATGCTGCCGCAGCGCCGACACTGCGTCCCTTGCCTGCAGCTTCTGCCGCTGCCCCTCAAACGAAAACGGCTGCGTCACAATCCCCACCGTGAGAATCCCCATGCTCCGCGCCACCTCCGCCACCACCGGCGCCGCCCCGCTCCCGGTCCCTCCACCCATGCCCGCAGTCACAAACACCATATCTGCGCCTGCCACTGCTGCTTGCACCACGTCGCGGCTCTCCTCTGCGGCGCTCTCGCCTATTCTGGGGTTGCCGCCGGCGCCGAGGCCGCGGGTGAGAGCGCCGCCGATCTGGATGCAGTGGGTGTTGTCCACTGGGGAGAGCGCCATGGCCTGCCGGTCCGTGTTCAGCACCCAGAACTCCACCCCCTGCATGCCGCTCTGTGGTAGGGGTGGAAGGGGGGGTGGGGAGGATCGGAGTGTTGAGAGGTCGGATGGAAGGGAGGAAGAGAACAGTTGCAGTGTTGTGCTGCCGGTCCGTGTTCAGCACCCAGAACTCCACCCCCTGCATGCCGCTCTGTGGTGGGGGAGGGAGAGGGGTGGAGGGAAGGGAGAAAGAGAGAAAGGGGCGGTGTTGAGCTGGCGGTCCGTCTTCATTACCCAGAACTCCACCCCCTGCATGCCGCTCTGTGATGGAGGAGGGAGGGGGATGTGGAAGGGAAACAGGGGGAGGGGGGCGGAATGTTGGTGTGGGGAGAGGGTGAAGGGAGGGGAGGAAGAGAGAAAGAGAGGCGTTCTGCTGACATTCTTCAGGCATGGCAACCAACCACCCCCTTTGAGAAGCAAGAAATCTCTGCCTACAAAATTTCCAGTACACACGCCCTGCCCCCACACCGTCCCTGCCTTCAACCTCATCACCATTCTCGAACCCCTCGCTCCCTCTCCAATCCCTTTCCCCTGAACCAACTCTAAATTCCCACAACCTGCCCGCACTGCTTTCTCCCTTCCTCTCCTCCTCTACCCCGTGCACTCACCAGCACCATGCGGTTCACCGCATTCGACCCCCCTCCACCGACGCCAATCACTTTGATCCTCGCCCCATCCACCCCCACTGCTGGCGCAACCACCCCCGTCCCCTCCTCCGCCCACCCATACCCCCCCCTGCGCGCAGCACCCATGCTGCCAGTGCGCTCAGGGGCTTGAGAAGGGGGCGGAGGATAGGCGGGGGAGGAGGTGGGCGCGGGGTAGGGATGGGGGGAAGCAGTGGGGGCGGAGGAGGGGGATGGAGGGGGTGGGCGGAGGGGCATGGGAGCGGGAGGAGGCGAGTAGGCAGAGGGGTAGGCGGCAGGGGGAGGGTAGGTGCGGGAGTAGGTGGGTGAAGGTGATGGTTGCCTGGGCACACGGGTCGGTGCTGGTGGTACTGGTGATGCTGATGCTGGTGACGGCGACCGCAGGACATACTGCAGTGACGGGGGGCGGTAAGGGGCGGTGAAGGGCGGTGAGGGGCATTGAGGGGAATTGAAGGGCATTCAGGGTGGTGGAGGGATGGCAGTAGACGCATCGCGAGCATGGGTGGAAAGGAGTTTGGATGTGATGAAAAGCGGGTGAACAAGGCAGGATGAGGAACGTGTGAGAGCGATGAGAGGTGCAGGAACGAGCAATGGCAACGGTGGCATGAAGGAGAGGGGACACCCGGGGGAGGGG